AAAAACAAGCATTTTTCTAGTTTCATGACAATAACTTGTGTGTAAGTGTATGGATCTTTCTGAAATTGAACTACAAGGTTCCATATCACAAAGGGAAAGCTGGAATTGAGTTTGGGGGTAATTGCCTCAAAATTTTAGGAATTAGGGGCCAAAAAAGGGGCAAAAAACAAGTATTTTCTAGTTTCATGACAATAACTTGTGTGTAAGTGTATGGATCTTTCTGAAATTGTACTACAAGGTTCCATATCACAAAGGGAAAGCTGGAATTGAGTTTGGGGGTAATTGCCGAAACGTTTAGGAATTGGGGGCCAAAAAGGGGCCAAAAATAAGCATTTTTCTAGTTTCCAGACAATAACTTGTGTTCAAGTGTATGGATCTCTCTGAAATTGTACTGCAAGGTACCATACCACAAAGGGAAGGCTGGGATTGAGTTTGGGGGTGATGAATCATAAGGGGGTTCAAAAAATTTGGGGGGGGGGGGGGTTTTCTTTTAAAATTTTCCATTTTAATTTGGATATTTCTGATTTATATTTAAAAGCAAATAATAATGATATAGTAGGAGATACACACCAAACAGGATGTGTTTAAACTTTGTTTGATTTCAACAAAAATTGAATATATGGGGTTCTTTGATATGCTGAATCTAACCATGTATTTAGATTTTTGATTTTTGGGCCCCATTATCAACTTTGTCCACATTGAGGTCAAAAGGGTCCAAAATTAAACTTTGTTTGATTTCATCAAAAATTGAATTCTTGGGGTTCTTTGATATGCTGAATTTAACCATGTATTTAGATTTTGGATATTGGACCATAATAGGTGAATGTCCAATTTAAAATTTTTAAGTTCTTAGACCACATTCATTCTGTGTCAGAAACCTATGCTGTGTCAAATATTTAATCACAATCCAAATGCAAGACTGTATCAAGCTTGAATGTTGTGTCCATACTTGCCCAAACTGTTCAGGGTTCGACCTCTGCGGTCGTATCAAGCTGCGCCCTGCGGAGCATTTTATTTGTTATCATTTTGAATATTATTATAGATATATATAAACTGTAAGCAGCAATAATGTTCAGCAAAGTAAGATCTACAAATAAGTTAATATGACCAAAATTGTCAATTGACCCCTTAAGGAGTTATTGCCCTTTAAAGACAATTTAACACAATTTGTTCATCAAGTTTGCTAACATTTAAAAATCTTCTCCTCTGAAATGCAGGTGAGCGATTCAGGCTCTTGAGAGCCTCTTGTTTTTTTAGCCATGGCGATGTCAGTTTATGAGTTTGAATGTCCCTCTGGTATATTTCGCCCCTATTTTATAATATCATATTTGTTTGTTTGTCTTTTTCTTTTTTAGCCATGGCGATGTCAGTTTATGAGTTTGAATGTCCCTCTGGTATATTTCGCCCCTATTTTATAATATCATATTTGTCTGTTTGTCTTTTATTAGCTCACCGGGGCCCAAAGGGCCCCATGTGAGCTTATGCCATCACTTGGTGTCCGTCGTCGTCCATTGTCTGTCTTCGTCGTCGTCTGTCGTTGTAAACTATTTCAAAAATATCATATTTGTCTGTTAGAGATACAATATCTATGATCAATCCAGTGATCAGCTGTTGAACTTTTGGATGTAAAACCATCAAATCATAGAACGACACATCTGGTTTCCTACGAAACAGGTTCAACAAAAATATTCCCTTGAATTTGACAGCTGTAGAAAAACAACCTTGCATTTCACTGCAAAAAAAATAATTCTGGGTCCTTCAAATATATTTTGGGGATTAAGAAGCGCCATTCTTTTTTTGTGCTTTTATAGAATATTTTGAAAACTCTAGATGACATGGTTACTAAAGCTTGTAAACAGGAAAAAGAGGGGGGATTTGATTGGTGATCTTATATGCAATGAAATCTTATAAGAAATGTTTGACTGGACAGAAAAAAACTTTTACTCATGCCAATTAACAAAGATAAATTTTGAAACCGTTTTTTTTTTTAAATGTCAATTTAACAAAGACTAAAAGGAGAAAAAACAATGATGGTATTAATCCTATTAAGAGAAGCTGCACATGCACCTTTGACCTGTAATGAACTCTCATTTTTGTCGAGCCTGCGACTTTTGTCGCAGAAAGCTCGACATAGGGATAGTGATCCGGCGGCGGTGGCGGCTACGGCGGCGGCGGCGTTAGCTAACTTCTTAAAAGCTTTATATTTTAGAAGGTGGAAGGTCTGGATGCTTCATACTTTGTATATGGATGCCTCATGTTACGAAGTTTCCGTCAGTCACATGTCCAATGTCCTTGACCTCATTTTCATGGTTCAGTGACTACTTGAAAAAAAAGTTAAGATTTTTTGTAATGTTAGATTCTCTCTTATTATAAGTAATAGGATAACTATATTTGGTATGTGCGTACCTTGTAAGGTCCTCATGCCCGTCAGACAGTTTTCACTTGACCTCGACCTCATTTCATGGATCAGTGAACAAGGTTAAGTTTTGGTGGTTAAGTCCATATCTCAGATACTATAAGCAATAGGTCTAGTATATTCGGTGTATGGAAGGACTGTAAGGTGTACATGTCCAACTGGCAGGTGTCATCTGACCTTGACCTCATTTTCATGGTTCAATGGTTATAGTTAAGTTTTTGTGTTTTGGTCTGGTTTTCTTATACTGTATGCCATAGGTCTACTATATTTGGTGTATGGAATGATTGTAAGGTGTACATGTCTAGCGGGCAGGTGTCATCTGACCTTGACCTCATTTTCATGGTTCAGTGGTCAAAGTTAAGTTTTTGAGTTTTGGTCTTTTTTTCTAATACTATATGCAATAGTTCAACTATATTTGGTATGTGCGTACCTTGCAAGGTCCTCATGCCCGTCAGACAGTTTTCACTTGACCTCGACCTCATTTCATGGATCAATGAACAAGGTTAAGTTTTGGTGGTCAAGTCCATATCTCAGATACTATAAGCAATAGGTCTAGTATATTCGGTGTATGGAAGGACTGTAAGGTGTACATGTCCAACTGGCAGGTGTCATCTGACCTTGACCTCATTTTCATGGTTCAGTGGTTATAGTTAATTTTTTGTGTTTTGGTCTGTTTTTCTTATACTGTATGCCATAGGTCTACTATATTTGGTGTATGGAATGATTGTAAGGTGTACATGTCTAGCGGGCAGGTGTCATCTGACCTTGACCTCATTTTCATGGTTCAGTGGTCAAAGTTAAGTTTTTGTGTTTTGGTCTGTTTTTCTTAAACTATAAGCAATAGGTCAACTATATTTGTTGTATGGAAGAATTGTTAGCTGTACATGCCTGCCTAGCATGGTTCATCTGACCTTGACCTCATTTTCATGGTTCATTGGTCAATGTTTAGTTTACTTGGTTAATGTTAAGTTTATGTGACAGCTGTAATAAAGCTTTATATTTAGGACTATCAACATAATATCAATGATTAGTAAAGAAGGCGAGACATTTCAGCGTGTGCACTCTTGTTTCTTAATTTCATTATTTTTCACTGAAATATTGCAATCCTGAAATATTGTCAGTGGATTAAGTCTCAAAACACATTTGTGAAAAATGTACATCAAAATGAGGATCTACCATTAATATTAGTAGGCAGAGCAAGCCTGACACAGAGTTTTGGGGAGCTTATTTTGACTTTTTCTTTAAATTTCCAATTTTGGGTTTAACAAGAAAACATCTTTTTAAGTTGCTCTTTAAGGAATATACTGTAATATGTAAATGAAATGCTTTTGAAGCAGTAACAATACATTATTTACTACTGGTAGAAAAACAATGTAGTCAATTATTCATTTTTGTTTGTTTTATATATCAAACCCCTTACACCATAGTCAGGTGGTGATGTATAGGGATTATGAAAGCCTGACTACTGAACAAAAATAATAAAATAATTAATTACTAATAGGGAAGCATTACATGTCTCTCTCTGGAATTGAACGTAAACTTCAGTTTTACGTAAGAACTTATTGAGCCCTCCATGGAGTCAGTAAACTTTTATATGTATAGCTCATTCAGGTTTAACAATACAATTACTCATTTATTATCACATTTCTTACATAAATATGTAATAGTTCTTAGTCTTAAAAGTTTGAGGGAATGAGAGGTATAAATGAACCAAAAGGACCTTATAAATGAGAACAAAGAGGTAATTTTGTGCTGTTTATCATCTTATAGACATCTTTAATATCATATTGAACCATTTTTATTTAGATGGATATTTGATCATTTATTGGTCCACACTATATTCTATCATGATGCGGCATGGTTTGGATTTTTTGAAGACATTTTGCTCCAATCGCTGTAGATGTAGTCTTACATTAGGATGATATTCTCTAAATTTATTGAACTGATAAAGACAAAACTCACGGGGAATCTTCAAATAACCAGTATTTCAAAGAAAAAATAACATTCAGTGTATTTAACATAAATGTCTTCTTTATATACGATCACAGCTTGGGAACTTACCTCAAAACTAAAAAATTACCCGCCCAACAGGAATGTATTATTTAAATCAAGTTAATAAACATTCAAAATATTTTTTGACTTAGAATAAATAGTAACTGAGGAGTAGTCTTTATACCGAAAAATTGTGCTAAAAGCTGGAAAATACAAAATATAAAAGACAGTAATTGACTGACAAGATGTCATCAAGGATGACTGCCGTACATCATTCTTAGTGTTTCTCCTACATAAAACATGTACAAACCATGCAAACATTTGAAAACTAGCAGTTTTCCCACAGCACATGCAAGCCTTGTTTCAGATTATTTTCTTCCAAATGGGAAATGATTCAACTTTGATCATCAAATCCCGTTATAACAGACTAGAAAAAAAAATAATTTGTTCTGATATAAAAGACATTTAATCGAATTATTAGGATACATTTGTTTTCCAGTGATGATTTTGGTGAGCGATACAAATAGTTTTATCGTGTAGCTTTTATAGATCGTTATAACCTCATAATATAAATTATATTTCTTTTTTATAGATGTTGCATTTTGGCCCAAAGAAAATAAAACAAGGAAAACCTTCAAAAAGATGTCTGAAAATGGAATGATACAAAAAGTAGACCTCTACCAGATTTGGGAACAAGAAGAATTCCGTCAGATTTTACCATTTAAAGAGTACATATTTGATATGCTGATACATCTAGATATCGTATCCGAACAACGGAGATATGATACAAAAACAGGAAGTCGTCTACCAATAGAAAACTTCTTTGTACCCTGTATGCTAACACAAAGAAACGATACAGATTTCTTGACACAAGAATGTACACCAGAGAGGACTGTTAGTTTGGCTTTTGTTTTCAAAGGAACCATCATACCTCCAGCCTTACCAAACCGTCTAATATGTGCATGTCTGAGTATGTGGACATTAAAAGAATACCATGGACGGAAACTTATGTTTTCTGGGTTTGTTGGGTTATCATTTGATAAAGAGCATGATATTGTTGTCTGTGTAGAAGGAAATAAGATCTTACTGTACCTAGTCCACAAGCGCTCCAAGGGCCTGATAATACCTGATATAGCCACCAGTGTCCGGGATTGCTTGTTTGTTACTTTAGAGAGAATATCTGAATTTTATCAGTCAACTATCCATTGTAAAGCCAACAACAAGTTACCATTCCACACTGAGTATTCCTGCTCAAAATTAAACTGTTTTACTCCAGAAGAAAATATGGTTGTAGATACAGAGGAATGTCTTTGCGAACATGGTGAAAACATTAAACACAACTGGAGAGTTTGGAATCAGAAACTGGTATGTACTTTACTTTAATTATATTCATATTGAATAATTTCTTATGATGCATAAAAGACAGATATTTATGGACATGATATAGTTGGTTTGTTTCTTTATACAGTCGATTCCGGTTATTTGCATAGCCTATTTGTCAGACAAAATTATGCAATTAAGCGGAGTATGCTTATATCCGAAATGCCAAATTACGGAGTCAAATAACATCGATAGTACAGATCAGTAAAGGAAATCCCTGAAGAAAGATGAACGTCCATAACCCACTTACAACATATTGAATGCTATTTATTCTAATAAAAGTTATGTGTCTAGTGTCATACATGTTATTTTATTTTGTATTCTTTCAATAAAGTTTATAAACACATTTTGTTTTAGTTTATTTGCGTACCGACTTTTCCTTTACCTGAGATACGAAAATAAAACTAATTGTTCTAAAAATAGATTTGTTTCTATGACCCGGATGTACAATGTACATTGCTACGCTTTGATTAAATTAACTGTTTAACAATACTACACAGTTTATAATCATTTTAAACAATAAATGTGTACTAAACTGTCTTTGATATGCAGTATTTACCGCTTGCACAGTGATGTAACACTATTTCTTTAACCTCGTTAGTTTCGTATATGCAAAGTAGTTAACAGGTAATGGGGCCCTGTACGGGTTATTTGCAGGACACGAGTGTTAAAAGAGAGAAAATATAATAATTAGAAGTTAATTTTCTTTTCAAAAAATATTAAAAATAAAAGATTGATGTATTAAATTCTTCAACCATTTATAAATGCCCTGTAATATTTAACATAAGTGTAGATCACCCCAAGCCGAATTACGAGAGTACACATTGGATAATGATCGATAATTAACAGGGGTTACTGTTTTTAAAATTCACCCCAAATGTAATCTATGAAAAATGTTTGATATCCAATCAATAATTAACACCTTTTGAGATAGAATGGACGTGTTTTTACAACAATCACCTGTTTGACATTTTTATGACCTCGAGGCTTAAAATAGAACATGGGAAACTTTACCTGTGTACACATCGAGGCTTATTTTTTAATCATATAAACACGAAAGAAACTGTTTAAAAACTTTATTTAAATAACACAAAAGTAAATATGAAATAATAACGAAAATTATGATGCATTCAAGAAAAATATACTTACCAAATTGCCGTTTCCGGTCAAAAATCTCGTCAGTTTTAACTAAGCATATCTAGCTGGCGAATATTTTCTATGCAATTAACCGAAAGGCCACTTGTAAGGCTATGCATATAACCGGACAATTTAACATTAGATGAATGGGAAATGATTTTGTGCAGGAGAAAAGTATGCAATTAACCGAATTATGCTATTAAGCGGTATGCAATTAAGTGGAATCGACTGTATAGAAATAAGTAAAAAAAAAAACAAATAAAAAAATACGGAACTCCAAGGAAAATTCGGAATGGAAAGTCCCTTATCAAATGGCAAAATTTAAAGCTCAAACATAAAAGAAAAAGAATACAAGGACAATTTTATTCATCAGTATGATAACAATCATTTTTTTCAACTCTAGCTTTTTCTAAATCTATACAAATTCATAAACTGTCTACAGTTTATCTACAGTGATCACTGGCCTACTGCGGTTAAAACTAGTGCATAAGTTATGCCGAACTTTTGTGTTTAAAGTAGTTCTTTCAAATTAAAGGTTGCAATTCTGTAAATATAGACAATGCAATTTCCCATAGGAACTCCCTTTGCGGCTAAAACTGTGACACTTTTACTATGAAGTTTCGTGAAAAATAATATCCTAGAACGGAAAGTTTATATGCACTACTATTTTATTCAAAGGTCAAAATATAGGGCTGTGCGGCATATTTTCAACATTTATATGCCCTGAACTTCTAAGAGTTTAAACTTATACTAAAATTCTATACCACCCTTACCTCCATTTTTGGACCTCCTAAGAATTAAAATTTAGGCGCTACCATGTTTTTCTATACTGGTTACATTCCCAAGTGATGTCTCTATGAAATAAAACACAGAGATCATAAATGGGAACCAGTACGTTAACAAATTAACATATCTATGAATATTATATATCTCCCCAAAAGAGGCGTGGTTTGAGAAACAGCTGTATTTACAAAGTGCAACCTAAACAGTTTGTTTGATGCTAAATACATATTTCATGTTAGATCTGTATGAAAAGGAAATACATGAATGAATAACCATATGTTAAGCAATGTATAAAACCAAATGTTCAAATGAGTTTTTAAACCAACGGTATTCAATTATATAATAAACATGAATAATGACACTCTTAAATTTATATTCCATCTGTTATTTTTTCATAACTTTTTCGAGTATAATTAACAGCAATGCCAGTGTAGCAATTATTTGATAATACGCCTAATCAATGTGCTGCAATTCACAGACACAGTGTAATGAATAGTATACATTAGGCGCAGACATATTGAGCAGAATGATGTTTAAATCTCGAAAATTCATTTACAACTTACAAACCGAAGTAAAAAACACAAAACTGAGAGAATCTTTCGAACTACGAAAAGAGACCAGTTGCTATACATGATGATGTTCTTATGTTATGCCTGCATCAACCACCATGCAAATTTACACTTACTCAAAATGTCATAATAGGTAGGACAACACAATCAGTGTATTTAAAGGTCGCACAACAATCCATACAATCCCTCCAAAAAAGTCACATAAAGGTACTTGTTGTAGCCTCATTGGTGTAACTTTGTAATTCCAAATATTATGATTAATATGAAAACAAGAAGATGTTGTATGATTGCCAATGAGAAAGCTCTCCACCAGAGACCAAATGACATAGTAGCAACTGTAGGTCATGGTATGGCATTCACTAATCAAAAAAACCCATACCATATATATTCAACTATAAACATGATAAAAGGCCCTGAAATGACAGATGTAAAACAATCCAAAAGTGAAAACTAACGAACTGATTCATGCATAAAACAAAGAACGAAAAACTAGTAGGATGTACACCAACAAGTTACAACAACGAAAATACAGGCTCCTGACTTGGGACAGGCACATACAAATTGTGGCTTGATTAAACTTGTTCAGCATAGTTTGGTAATCAACACTAGTCTAACATTATACTAACATATAACTTAAAAGCAGATTCTATGTTTTTGTTTCTTGGTATGTTAGCCGGATTATGTTAGCTACAAATACTTGTATAATAATAAAAAGGTTTTTTTTCCTTATAGGAACAAATGCAGTGTGATCTTAGTTGTCCAGGTAAATGTATTGACTATTTCTTTTTCTGTTAAAAGATCTCAAAAATATCATAATTCCTTCACGAGTAAAATATGTATCTTAAGAGTATATTTCATTTCCATTTAAGTTATATTGTGAGCTGATAACATAAATACAAAACATTAGTAAGATTCACAATAATCCAGTTCTAAACATTTGTGGAATTGAAATGTGTATCGGCTATCTTTGTGTTCCATTACCACAAAAAAATCTCAGAAAATATTCCAGCGTTACTGATGAGTCTTTTGTAGACGAAACGCACGTATGGCGTAAATCCCAAAATAATCCTGGTATCTATGATGAGTTTATATGCATGATATATATAAGAGTTGACTAGCATATAAACCTTTACTGTTTTTGTCATGATTTCACTACTACATGTTGGTCCAAAGTTGGTCGGCTTGCTTACGAATATTGTTAGGATGTTTACTAAAAAGTAAAGTCACACAAAAATACTAAACTCCAAGGAAAATTCAAAACGGAGAGTCCCTAATCAAATGGCAAAATCAAATGATAAAACCCATCAAACGAATGGACAACAACTGTCATATTCCTGACTTGGTACAGGCATTTTCAAATGTAGAAAATGGTGGATTGAACCTGGTTTTATAGCGCAAAAAAAAGCATTGTTATGTAACTTGATATGATAAGACAAGGCATATTTATTAATAATGGAGTTAACTCATGTACAGTTTGGATGTGATTTTTTTTTTAATTTTGATTCTATTGTCACTATAATAAACTCATCATAGATACCAGGATTAAATTTTGTTTTTACGCCAGACGTGCGTTTCGTCTACAAAAGACTCATCAGTGACGCTCGAATCTAAAAAAGTTTATCAGGCCAAATAAAGTTCGATGTTGAAGAGCATTGTTGTAGAAATTGGTGTTTTATAAGCGTATAATTTGGAACATTGAACTGCATGTATGTCTTAAAATAAATGTAACTGAAATTTGCTTAGTTATAGAGTGTTTGGATTTTATGGGTAGATATAAAAAATGGTTTGCAATGTTGTCAACATCAATACTTTAGTAGGTATAAAGGTAACACATAATTCATATTATAAAAGCTGTTTGACAAACACAAGTAATAATATTTACATAATTTTAACATGCCTTACTTGTGTTTTCATAACGATCGTAATAACATGAATAATATGAAATGCAGACTCAGTTCATAGTTCTCATTGAAACATAGATTATGAACTAACTAGTTTGATAATAAATGAAATACAAATTTAAATGTATCCATTTGAGTATCATCATTTTAAACTCTAAATCAGCAATTCTTGACAAAACCTTCACATTTATTTGAGAGCAAATTACATTTTTAATACGACTGCAAAAAAAAAATGGGATCGTAAAATGCTATCATGTCCTCATCGGCGTCATTGTCTGCATCGTCGTCATCCGACAACATTTCATTTCTCAATAACTTAAGTTTAAGTGTATGGATCTCTTTGAAATTTAAGCAACAGGTTTAATACCACAACAGGAAAGTTGGGATGGTTTTTAGGCGTGATGGTCCCAACCGTTTAGGAATTAGGGTTGAAAATTGTCCCCAAACAAGCATTTTTCTAGTTTCAGAACAATAACTTGTGTATAAGTATTTTGATTGCTCTGAAATTGTACCCCAAGGGTCCATACCACAAGTTGAAGATTGGGATTCATGTGTGGGGTAATTGCCAAACTGTTCAGGAATTTAGGGTCAAAAGGGTCTAAAGCAAGCATTTTTCTTGTTTTCAGACAATAATGCTTGTTTTAGTACATTGATGTCTCTTAAACTGTACCACATTTTATAAAAAGTAAAGTTTTTTTCAAATATTATTTTTCTGGAATTGGGGGGGAAGTTAAAAAAAGGGAGGGACAATTTGTATGCTCCCACCGTAGCGGAGAGGACATTAAGTTTTACCCTTGTCCGTCTGTACGTACGTCTACTTCCCAAAATTGGTTTTCGTTCTCTAACTTTAGTTTGCCTCTGTGAAATGTTATGAAACTTATACACAATTTTTGTTACCACAAAACACAAATCAATTTGAATTTTGGTGGCATCACTTTTACTGTTCTAAAGTTATGCCCTTTACAAATAGAAAAATTGCTGAATTTTTCGTTTTCGTTCTCCAACTTTAGTTTTCCTCAACCAAATGTTATGAAACTTATACATATTGCTTATTACTACAAACTACAGATCAAGATTCAATTTTGGTGGCATCACTTTTACTGTTCTAGAGTTGTGCCCTTTTACAAATAGAAAAATTGCTGAATTTTTCGTTTCCGTTCTCCAACTTTAGTTTGCCTCAACCAAATGTTATGAAACTTATACATAATGCTTATTACTACAAACTACAGATCAAGTTACAAATTTGGTGGTGTCACTTTTACTGTTCTAGAGATACATGAGATATGCCTCTTTACAAATGGAAAAGTTGCTGAATTGTTCGTTTCCGATCCTTCACTTCAGTTTGCCTCAACCAAATGTTATGAAACTTATACACAATGCTTATTACTACAAAACACAGATCAAGTTTGAAATTTGGTGGTATCACTTTTACTGTTCTAGAGTTATGCCCCTTTACAAATGGAAAAATTCTTGAAATATTTGTGTCTGTTCTCTAACTTTAGTTTTTCTCAACCAAATGTTACAAAACTTATGCACAAAACTTAGATCAAGTACAAATTTTGGTAGCATCACTTTTACAGTTCTTGAGTTATATAAAGAAAAATTGGGGGTCACAATTGCTTATTCTTTGTTTATAGTCTGAAAACAGATTTACTAAGTAATGCACAACAGCACAGCGCACAGTCAATGACAGTGTATTGCATAAAAGCAAGAAATCTTCAATTGAATATAAATTAAAATCATATAACCAATATAGTTCTATGACTACATTTATTCTGTGTCAGAAACCTATAATATGTCAAATATTTAATTACAATCCAAATTCAGACCTGTATCTAGCTTGATTATTAAGTCCTTTCTTGCCCCAACTGTTCAGGGTTGTACCTGTGAGGGTGTATCTAGCTGTGCTCAACGAAGCAGTTTATTTTTTTTTGTATTTAGTGTTTGGGTTGTTTTTTTTGTGTGGCTCATAGGACATAATGTCCATTGTGAGATTTCCCATCACTTGGCACTATTTGTCTATCCTCATCTGTTTGTAAAAAAAATCTTTTTGAAAACAACTGGGTCAATTTGAATCAAACCTGGCCATACTCATCATTGGGGTATCTAGTTTAAACAAATTATATGTGGTTATCTTCAATATAGTGGGAATACTAAATTATCATTCTTATGCCTGTGCTAACTGTGGTGAACTTAACCATAAAACATCCTCGTGTAGATTTGAAATGAAAATTAAATGTCATAAATGTAATATGTATGGCCACAAACTGAAATTTTGTTTAGCATGAAAAAATGGCAAAGAAGAGAATGCCAATTTAACCACTGTTTCAAACAGATTTAATGCACTTTCAACTTTATGCTCTGAATGCAATTTATTATCTTGTATATGTAAGTCCACATTTTCTATTTCACAAGAGTATGGAATTTCTAAAAGAAACAAAAATGGGAGTGTTAATTATGATATCATTGAAGAAAAAGAGAATGCTAATTATTCATTTGACACAACCAAGAAAGTGTCTATTGCAAAACTTCATATTATTAATGATGCATTAATTACTTCAAATAATGCTGACACTTTATCTCAAACATGTGGACAGGATACATTACTTGATGATAAGCAGCTTGATACAAACTGTGTTATGTCTGATAATGATTCTAATGATATCATAGCATGTGATTTATTGTATCCACTTCCTGAGACCAATTGTCTAATTGATGTGAAATTATCTTATATCTATGTATTTACTTTAGCAATAGCTATTTGTATGTATTATCTAATCAAATTGGAAAACCATGCAATGACAAGGAAGCAAATAGATCCTGGTGATAATAGTTTTGATACATATGGTTTTAGTAAATCTAAAGGTATCAGGATTTGTTCTCATAATGTTAATAGGATTGAAAGTAAATATGATGAAATCAAACACACACTTATGTTTTCAAAAAACCCACCTGATGTAGTGGGCATGTGTGAAACATTTTTAACTAAAAACACTAAAGATAATGAATTACAAATACCTGGTTACTTGTCTGAAAGAAAAGACAGAACTTCCCAGGGTGGGGGTGGTTTGATTGTTTATTTTTCTGAAAAAATAAAATTTTCAAGACAAATCAACATTGAAATAGGAGGTATTGAAACAATGTGGTTTGAAGTAAAACCAGATTATAAAAAATCATTTTTACTATGTTTTGTGTACAGACCACCAAAGTCAACAATAGACTGGATTGATGATTTTGAAAAAGAACTAGGAATGGCAGTGACCATTAATTCAGATATAATATTATTGGGTGATTTTAATATGAATTTTAAAGCACCAAGCAAACCTCCTCAAAAATGGCTGAGTGTTTTAGAATCATTCAATCTTCAACAATTGATTGTAGATGCTACAAGGGTTACAAAGGATACTAGTACATTGATTGATCATATCTATGTCAGTAATCTAGATAAGGTACAGGAATCACATGTCTGTAAATATGAAATTAGTGACCATTATCCTATTTGTTTAACAAGGAAAGAAGTTAATAAAGATAAAAAGAATACACATAGTACAATCACATACAGGAATTTCAAAAAATTTGACCAAAATGAATTTCTATTAGACCTACAAAGTACACCTTTTTATAAAATTGAATTTGAAGACAATCCTTCTGTCTGTCTCCAATTATTTTATGATATGTTGAACAAAGTTTTAGATAAACATGCTCCTGTTGTTGAAAAGAGAGTTAAAAAGGATAGGCAACCTGATTGGTATAATAGTGAAATTATGTATGCTAGGAACATGAGGGATAAATATAATGCACTTGGATTGTGGAGTGAATATAGATTTTGGAGAAATAAAACTAAACAAATAATAGAGAATTCAAAAAAGAATTATTATAAAAACATGGTAAAAGACTCTAATGACTCAAAATCTTTATGGAAATGCCTTCATAGCCTGAACCCTAAGGTAAAAAAAATCCCCACATGAGTTAGCTACAGATGAGAACAATACAACAACAAATAATAAAAAATCTATAGCAGATACTTTTAATAACTTTTTTACTTCCTGTGCTGAAAAACTAAGAGAGCAAAGAGATATTACATCTGTTGACAAGGCAGATTTCAATAATCTTAGCACATTCATTAATAATCAATTAAAACAACAAAAACATGAGAAATTTACCATACCACCAATAAAGATAAATGAGCTATTTGATGAATTAACCAAACTTGATGTAAATAAATCATCAGGAACTGATAATATTGGACCCAAAATCCTTAAAATAAGTGCCCCATATATTGCCACTCCTCTCACATATATATTCAACAGAATGATAGATACTGGTATATATCCTTCATTACTGAAAAATGCTAAGGTAACACCAGTTTACAAAGATGGTGACAAGGTTTTAGCAACAAATTACAGACCAATATCTGTTCTTCCATCTCTATCAAAAGTATTAGAAAGGCATGTCTCAAATAACATGTACAAGTACTTGTCTAAATTTAAACTTTTACATCCTACACAATCAGGTTTCAGGCTACATCATTCTTGTCAAACTGCACTTATTGATATCATTGACAAATGGCTGCAAGAAATGAATGATGGTAATTTAAACTTAGCAATACTGTTGGACTTCAAAAAAGCATTTGATCTTGTAGATCATGACATTTGCTTAAAGCTTGCTATTTACTGATTCAGTGAGTCTGCAGTAGGTTTTTTCAGGTCATACCTAAGTAATAGAACACAGCAAGTAAACATTTACAATGTTAATTCTGATAAAAAAAGATGTGAAAGTTGGTGTCCCCCAAGGATCTATACTAGGTCCTCTATTATTTGTCTTATTTATAAATGACCTTCCCCTTTGCATTAAAAATTGTAAAACAGACTTGTATGCTGATGATACTACTCTCCATAAATCCGGGAAAAACATAGAAAATTTACATGATGATGTACAAGAAGATTTATGCAGAGTTGAAGAATGGTGCAAAATTAATAATATGTTCATCAATACCAAAAAAACAAAATGTTTGGTTACTGGAACAAGTCAGAAGTTATGAACTCAATCTTTTCAACCAAATTTACTAATAAATTCAGAAACACTACAAAATTCATCATGTGAAAAATTATTAGGTGTTAAAATTGACAGCACACTTAGCTGGACAAATCAAATTGATCAAATTTGTGCTAGCATTTCATCAAGAATATACCTTCTTTCTAAATTAAAGAAATTTTTAGATATTAATGCCAGGAAAGCATACTATAATGGGTATATTCTGCCGCTCATCGATTACTGCTGTATTGTTTGGGGAGAATGTAAAAATGAAGGGATGGTAAGAATATTAAAACTTCAAAAAAGAGCAGCAAGATTAATTCTTGATGCAGACCCTTTATCCCCATCAGCCCCCTTATTTAAAGAACTTGGATGGATGACAGTTAAAAACAGAATCAAATACCACAAATATTTACTGCTACATAAATGTATGCGGAAAGAAGCACCACAGTACCTACTTCAAAAGTTTCAACTTATATCTGTTAATAATCCTTATGCTTTAAGGGGTGTCACTCAAGGTAATTTGATAGTTCCTAAGCCAAAAACTGAACTGTTTAAAAAATCTTTTGCTTATTCTGGATCAGTTTTATGGAACGGACTACCATATGAAATGCGTAAAGTGCAAAACACTTTTTCTTTTAAACAAATTATAAAACAATACTTGAGACAGTCCTAATATTCAGTCTTGAAATGATTGCAACTACTACTCTTTTTTTTTAGAATGTATGATTTTGATTTGTATATAATATCTATTCACTACATGCAATCTGTAACTGTTTTATATGTTCTAATTATGGTACATGTACATTGAACTATCATGACTATACGATTGTGTTAATATGTTGTATATTTGCTCTTTTTCTTTTATTATTATTTTTTACATGTATTGTATATGAGGGCCACAGGGAAGATTAGTAATTGTAACTAACTGTGTTAACCCTCTTTAAATAAAGAATTTATTATTATTATTATTATTCATAAAGTTATCGTACAAAATCACTACGCACGTTATAGAAATGTCACTAACCATGCTTTTAATACTTCGATGAAATTACGGACTCTGTTATGTATTAGGGCCTTCTTTAATTGCTGATTGATACTTATAAACTCAACTCTGTAAACAGATTGTATAATAATCAATATAATGCAAAATGATCAAGGTTACATCTCTAGACAGTGTCAAATAGCATAATGACCCTTTGCGTTATTAAAAATAATGACCGGTAATTCTCAGGAATTAAAAAGTAAATAGACCTTTTTGCTGGATATATTTTATATAGACTCCTGTCAGGTTTAATTCTTTTACATATGGATGTTTGACAAAAGTTACAAAAACATTAACTTGGCAGCAAATGCTTTCACAGCCTCACATGCTTTGATTACTAGTTTGATGTGGTATTGCCTATCATTTTGAGTATAAAATATATAGAGAAAAACTTCATGCCGGCTAACAAATTGGAACTCGTTATTTCAGTTGTATAAATTAGCCATGCTGGTAAAACAGCAAGGCACCGCCATAGAGATATAGATAATTATTCCTTATTACAATATCATAAGAACGGCCAGACATGGTTATACAGATAAAAATGATAATTGTTTTTGATGGTAGAATATCCTAAAAACAGCCAAACACGGTCATAAATATATAGCTTATATTAGAACAGCCAGACAAGGCCATATAGATATTGTTCATAGAATAGCCAGACAGGACCATAGAAATATAGATAATTAATCTTGGTGGTAGACAGTTCTGAAATATAATTACTATCTCTATTTGTTGCCAATATTGACTAATAGTGTTCTAGTAATGTATCGTCACATTTACCTAATAACATAATTATTACTATCTTTTCACAATGTTTACATTTTATACAACTTGTAGGTTTGAGTGAATATTCTTTAGATCAAATTCCAAGTAACCCCGAGTTGCTTCGTCTTTCTGGTAATTGTGAGGAAGACTTGATACATGAATTAGCACTTCGTCTTGGAATGGATGAGATAGATTGGAGGGATATTGGAAAGAATAACACAGGAAATACACAGATGCTGAAGTTTTTGACACTTATTCACTTGAAAGAGAATAATTCAATATGTTTCGGAGATCTAGATAAAAGTTTGCGAGAAATGAAAATAACAACACACACATTATGCATGGTAAGCTATATAGAGATAAAGTGTTTTTTGCATTTTCATATCTCCCTTTCAATTATGGTCACTTCAAAGTATATTAGCTACGATTTTGACAAAATCAAATCCAAGTTTTAGAGCTGCTTACATCAAAGATATGTACTTGAATTTCACAATTAGATCGCTGGAATGTTTACATAAACTACAGAAGTGTCAATAATTGATATTGCATCGGGTTTATTTCACAAGCTTTGCTGACACAGCAGGAGAAATGACCCAGATATATATAGATATGAACATGTGCTATTTGTTTTCTTAATTATTGGATAACTTTTTTTTAAAACAAAACGGTCATACTTGACGCCATTTATCAAATTATGTAAACATAACAAAATACAACAAATGCCTCCATATTATTCGAAAATGGTCCTAAAATAATGGCGATATTAAACACATGTATGACAAAACAATGCTGATGATACGTATTTGTGAATTGAATTGGGGCAATCATTAAAGATACAAAAAAGAATAATATTAAATGTAAGAATTTGATTTTTAACTTCTCCTAAGTTTGCAGATCTCATCATAAATGCTTATACAGTTTTATAAGACTTCATTTTCAGGTAAGGAGAAGAAAACAAGTGAAATCCAGTAAGTAATCTGTATGTTAAGATATTCATGTACTTAAAACGAAATCTAGTATTTTTAGCTTACCTGGCCCGAGAACCACTGAATGGAATGAAACCAAACATGGCATGAATGTTCCTTATGAGGTACTGACCAAGTGTTGTTACTTTGTAGCGGATCCATAATCCAACATGGCCGCCAGCGGGTGACTTAGTTTAACATAGGACCCTATGGGAAATACATACAAATGTCTTCTTTTAGAGAACCACTGAATGGAATGAAACCAAACATGGCATGAATGTTCCTTATGAGGTGCTGACCAAGTGTTGTTACTTTGAAGCTGATCCATTATCCAAGATGGCCGCCAGCGGGTGGACTTGGTTTTACCTGGGACCCTATGGAAAATACATACAAATGTCTTCTTTTAGAGAACCACTGAATGGAATGAAACCAAACATGGCATGAATGTTCCTTATGAGGTGCTGACCAAGTGTTGTTACTATGTAGCTGATCCATCATCCAAGATGGCCGCCAGCGGAGGACTTAGTTTAACATAGGACCCTATGAGAAATACATACAAATGTTTTCTTTTAGAGAACCATTGAATAAAATGAAACCAAACATGGCATGCATGTTCCTTTTGAGGTGCTGACCAAGTGTTGTTACTTGAAGCTGATTCTTCGTCCATGATGGCTGCTAGATGGGGACAATGTTTAACAAAGGACCCTATGGACAATACATACAAATGTCTTCTTTTAGAGAACCACATACTGAATGGATTAAAACCAAACATGGCATGAATGTTCCTTATGAGGTGCTGACTAAGTTTTGTTACTTTGAAGCTGATCCTTCATCCATGATGGCCGCCAATGGGGGGAATTTCTTTAACATAAGACCCTATGGGAAATACATACAAATGCTTCTAGAAGTGCACTGAATGGAATGAAACCAAAACATGGCATAAATGTTTCTTATGAGGTGCTGATGAAGTGTTGCTACTTTGTTGCTGATTTACTGTTCAAGATGGCCACCAGGATTTTTTATTAAATTACAGGACCAATATTAAACCAAATTTGGCCTCACTCATTATTAGGGTATCTGTTATGATTTTAATCTATTTTTACATGATTTCCAAAACCAAAGTAGAATCAGGTGAGCGACACAGGCTCTTGAGAGCCTCTAGTTGTTTTACTGTACTGTCAACAGAAATCATGCTTAACAGTGACTTTATTAACCCATGGTCAAACATAGTGTGGGCTTGGCTATAGTGCTGTGTCCGTCTATTCATTTTTCTTATTAACTAATGTCTTGCAGTAACATTCAGTTTAAAATCATAGAAACTGCATATGTTGTCAAGTAATGCACATACTCTCATAGAAATTAAGTTGACAGAAGCATAAACATGAATTGTGTTTGTTAATCGTTGTGTTTAGGAAAAACATAAACAGGATCTAATATTGACAGTGATGTTTTGTCAATTTATGGGCAGTTTTTTCTTATAATCACTTTGTCATTATTTTTTACTCTTACTAGACCAATGATTTGGCTAGTGATCATGAATGCCCCTTTGCTTTCTTGTCATTCACTCATAACACATGGTAGTGTGCACTTGTTAGTCTGTTTGTGAAGAAAGTAAATTTTCAGAGGCTGTTTACAAGGGAAGCAGTATGACTAAAAAGGACCTAGAAAAATCCTTGAAAGGTCCATTTTGCCTGAGGGAACTTTATTTCCATAATAATTTCTAAACATATCAACAAAAAAGTTTGTTTTGAATCATGCCAGCTAAAAAGCTAACTGCGCTGATAATAATTGTGCATTCTGTGATAAGCATTTTACAAACAGCACTTTCAAAAAGAGGGGCGACAGATACCAGAGGGACATTCAAACTCATAAGTCGAAAATAAACTGACAATGCCATGGCTAAATAAGACAAGGACAAACAGAAACACAATAGTATACAAAACAAAACACAGAAAACTAAAGACTAAGCAACACGAACCCCACTAACCATTGGGTGTGATCTAAGGTGCGCCAGAAGGGTATGCAGAACCTGCTCCACATGAGGCACCCATCGTGTTGTTCATGTCAGCTAAAACCAGTCCTAGAAAATATAATGATTGTTTAAAACATCATTTGAAGGAAAAGATTTTCTGGATTTCTGGCAGTGTGAGTTACGGCCTGATTGAATAGTGATTAATGTATAATTTGCAAAAAGTTTGAATGCGATTACAAGAAAAACGTATGTTCAGAATCGAGTCAGTAAATAACATTTGACACTAAAAGTTGATCGAGATTCAGGAAATCTTGTTGTTTTAATAAAGCAAGGACAAGGTGTTTAAAAAGTTCCTTTTAGACTAATGTCCATGAGTCCATGTAAAATTATTCACTTACATGTATTATTTAAATCTGAATTCTCTTATAGGAATTCCAGACGATATATTAGATTGTATCCCTACAGACGAAATTTTAGACAAGCTAGCACCACAGATTGGAAAAATGGTTTTTCAACTTGGAACAGAACTCGGATTGTCCATAGCGGATTTAGAAAATATCGACAAATGTAGTCCCAATTTGACAGCCCAAAATAAGGAAGTTTTATTTACTTGGAGAAAAGACAGATCAGTAAAACCTACAATACGGGTCATTAAACAAGCTTTAGTTAATATAAGAAAAGGTGTACGTTGTTTAGAGGAGGTTGTGAAGAACATAGATGCAAGAACATTAAGAGCTGTGGAAATTGTTACAGGTAATAATATGCTGCGACAGAAAACATGCATGGAAGCTTTTCAGTAGCTTTTTATTTACGGAATAGGTAGCATTCGTAAAGGAATCTTAATCTGAAATTTGATTATTCCGTCATGTTCAGTCTCCCAGTCAATTTTCAGCCATATCCACTGCGGTTCATTCAGTTATGTTAAAACAATTCACTTGCATTCAACTCAGTATTGTTCAGTAGCTTTTCAGACAATTCAGTATACAGGTGGCATCTTGAATCATCTACGAATCTCTTTAAAACTATTTATATATCTTTGCTTCTTCTTCTTAAGGTTTTTTTGGGTTTTTAATTTCATTTTCTTTGAAATGTTATAGTAGTATTGGGAGACTACCTCTTGTGAAGTATTGCACTCCGTTTTTTTTTCCATTCGTTATGACGTGCATTTCCTTTGATAAGTTTTGGTTTATGTCAATTCAATGCATATTTATGTGTCAGAAAATTTTCGTATGAATATAAATAATATTCCAAAACCAATGTACATCAACAATTAGATTTTAATGATTTAGGAAAAATGGTTGTGTTTATTTCATATTTTTTTGTCAAATGCTATTGCAGTTGGATATGTCTACATAATATGAAAACGGCTCAGTATTGTAGGTGTGGCGCAAGTTTTATAATATGATTATGTTACTGGGAAAAGATTTTGAAGTTTAAGCCGTCCTATGACCAATATTGATGATCCAAGATCAAAGGCTCTCACACCAACCATTTTGTACTAAATAGTAATACACATCATAAAAGACTATATATTTTTAAAAATCCATTTTCTCTATTTAATTGTCAATCCATCATTAAGTATTGAACTAGTAAGATATTACAAAAAGTAAACAGATTTCGATATATGTTTATTAGTTATATTTTATATTTTAAGAACTTGAAATTAATACTTAAGGACAGGTTGCGATTATTGCCTATTTTGATCTTCTTTTTTTCGTGTCATTTTAACTTTAAATGTAAAATTTCAGTTCAGTCTATATTTACTTTTTGGTTGTTAAAAATCATAAACAAGTAGCTTTCAATAGATGACGTCACAATTACTACAATTGTTACATCACTTAATATGCCATTCTATACATTTGGATAAAAAATATAAAGGCTTCGGTCATTTTGTAGATAGTTTTTAGACCAGCAAATATAGAGCATATGTAAATTATAACTTAATGATTTACCGCAATGTTTTCTAAATAATTAACAACTGTTATGTAAATAGTTTTGCAGTTTTTTTGTGTGCTCAACACTTCCCATTTACAAAAATATGTTAATAGATGCTAAATATGTCCTAATTCTTGTAATGCTTCATTTTTAGGGCCCAAAAGTCCCTTAGCGTACCCTTTTCTTCTCTTATATGATGTACTTATCAAACCAGCTAATTAAAATGCATTGATTTATAATTAGTATCTACCTTATGCCATATATTGTACTAAAAGTTAAGAACTTGTTTGCATTTATCATAATTCCATTTCCCTGGTGAATATTTTTTGCGAGCTTTGACAGATATCAATGTCCAAAATAGTATGAAACATACTTCATACTACTTTAGAACTCACCACATGTGCTTTATCCTTTTATAATCCATACATATATTACAGCATAATTTCAAATTTTTGTCAATCACATCAAAAATTTCAAATTCAAATTGTAACTCGCATTTTTGTCGAGCCTGCGACTTTTGTCGCAAAAGTCGCAAAAGAGAGACATAGCGATCCTACATTCCGTCGGCGGCGGTGTCCACAAATATTCACTCTGTGGTTAAAGTTTTTCAAATTTTAATAACTTTCTTAAACTATCCTGCATTTCAACCAAACTTGGACAGAAGCTTGTTTATGATCATAAATAGTATCCAGAAGTAAATTTTGTAAAAAAAAAAATCCTGTTTATCCCTATTTTACTCATAAATTGACTTAGTTTTTCTGCCAGTTAACATTACATTCACTCTGTGGTTAAAGTTTTTCAAATTTTAATAACTTTCTTAAACTATCCTAGATTTGTACCAAACTTGGAAAGAAGCTTGTATATAATCATGAGATAGTATCCAGAAGAAAATTTTGTAAAAAAAAAATCCTGTTTTTCCGTATTTTACTCATATATGGACTTAGTTTTTCTGCCAGTCAACATAACATTCACTCTGTGGTTAAAGTTTTTTAAATTTTAATAACTTTCTTAAACTATCCTGGATTTGTACCACACTTGGACAGAAGCTTGTTTTTGATCATAAGATAGTATTCAAAAGTAAATTTTGTTAAAAAAAAAATCCTGTTTATCCGTATTTAACTTATAAATGGACTCAGTTTTTCTGCCAGTTAACATTACATTCACTCTGTGGTTAAAGCTTTCAAAATTTTAATAACTTTCTTAAACTATCCTGGATTTGTACCAAACTTGGACAGAAGCTTGTTTATGATCAAAAGCTAGTATCTAGAAGGAAATTTTGTAAAAATTTATTTCCTGTTTTTCCGTATATTACTTATAAATGGACTTAGTTTTATTCCAGTTAACATTACGTACAGTCTGCAGTTAAAGTTTTTAAAACATTTATTAGATTCATAAACCTTCTTTGATTTTTACTTAACTTGAACAGAACTTCTTACAATCAAAAGATAGTATCTAGAGGAAAATTTTTAATAAATTTTTCCCCATTTTTGTTGAGCCTGCGACTAACAGCAAAAGTAGGCGATACACTGGGTTCCGCGGAACCCTTACGAATTTTTCTCAATCTTATATATAGTTTTCAATGTTAAATCAGCACATAGTAGTCAGTGAAGTGGATATACGATAATGATTATGTATTACAGTGGTGCGTATCAGGTAAAAACAATTGTATTGGTTATTTAGATATATGTATAAAAAATTTCCCCAAAAAAGACCGATGCATATTATACATTGGATTTAGTAATAGTAGTTCAGATACAAAAAGATCAATTTCAACTTAAACATTAGATTTTGTTGTTCAGATGGATATTGTCAGTGCTATATTAAGAAATAATCTTGAAAATTAACCCTCCCTTAATCTGGGATAGTGGTGTAAAAGCAACTTATAAGAACAAAATATAAAAAAGCACAAACATAACTCATCAAAAAAATTAACAGAAACACTCAAGGCATAAACTACTGATCTGAGAGTACTGACTGTTAATTAAAGCTAGTTCAAAGACAATAAAACTAATCAAAGAAAAATGTACTTAAGACAAAACATCAATAGACAACTTTCCAGAAATCAGTATATGCAGTATGCTAACTAAATAAAAAATATAATAATTTTGACATTTTAAGTCAACTTGGGGGTTTTTTTGCTTATGAAAGAATTTCGGGGTCTTTTATAGCTGACTGTGCGGTATGGGCTTTGCTCATTGTTGAAGGCCGTATGGTGACCTATAGTTGTTAATTTCTGTGTCATTTGGTCTCTTGTGGAGAGTTGTCTCATTGGCAATCATACCACATCTTCTTTTTTATATTTACATACTAAACGAAATTTTGTATTACTACAATTACAGATAGAATCAGAGATAATGCAGACAGAATCATACGGGATATACAAATCAGTCAAATTTTAGATCATATGATGACACATCTGGTGATATCAGTAGATGACCGACGCCGTATTGAACAACATGCTGGACAAGATGATCAGAACAAAGCATTGCTGGAAATTGTCATTAAAAGTAGAGAACCTGCTTACAATGTTTTTGTTGATGGATTACGTAATTATGGATATGAAGATATCGCTAATGATTTGAAATATTATTCAGAGGAAATAAGTCCAAGTACAACATTAGTATCTGCTGAAAATGAAGGTAAGGCTGAAGGGTTTATTATAATCACAAGCAAAGAAGGTTTATACTGAAATTATAATACTTTGGTATAACTGGATGTTCTTTTAACTTAGTCATTCAACATAGAGGTGTGCAACAGTACCCCAGCTGGTTTGGGATTTATTTTTGTTTTTATATTGTTTGAAGCATTAGAATATCAAATATCACTGCATGATTAGAATTTTTTCACATTAACACATCTTCACAACATCTAGTTTAAAAGACATATCCGAAGTTCTTTTATATTAGCAACAATGTCTCGATATCAACAACAAAAAATTAACTCTTGAAATATCAATGGATTAAAGCATTAGATATCAATTTAGGAAAATTCAAGAAAATAATTTGTTAATATCTTTATAGTGTCAAGTGCTTTAAAATTCAAATGGACTTAATAAACTCGGGAGGTTTTTTTGTAAAATTAAAGCCATCTCTGTTAACATAATAAATATTTATATACGTATTAACTTGTTTGATAAAGTAACAAGGAAAAGAGAGCCAAAGGACACCAAAGGGACATTCAAACTCATAAAATAAACTGACAACGCCATGGCTAAAAAGACAATCAACAGTACACAAAACAACATAGACAACCAAAGGCTGAGCAACACGAACACACCAAAAAACGGGGTGCTCTGGAAGGGTAAGCAAATCCTGCTGACATGTGACACCCGTCGTGTTGCTCATGTCAGTACAAACCCGGTGATATGTTTAATTTGGTAGGTCACATTCGGGGGAAGGGGATGAGATTGTAGTTACGGCAATTGAAACATATCCGTGGTCATCTGTGAAACAGATATTCCAAACGGTCAACCAACTCGTGGTGGCATCCGTAAAATTTACAAAGGGATGATTTCAACTTCACCATTTGGAACTCTTGGTTTAATAGCTTCCTTATGAGCAGCAACTCTCTTTCAAGGAAATCATGATAGAAAACAGAAGCTCTGGAATATCGTATCAACAGGGAGATCTATACTCTGTATGCAGACGTAGCTGGAATGTTGCTACATAGAATGGAAAGTTCCCAATTGGAAGGCTGAAATCATCTCTTTTGTCGTAAAGCTTTGTAACAACAAAGACATATTATTTTACTAAAATACAACTTTCTAACCTTCTAAGACATTTGGTCTCTGGTTGAGAGTTGTCTAATTGGCAATCAAACCGCATCTCTTCTGTTTCAAATGTTTAAAATGTTTTGTTCTTGATTCATATAGTTCACTAAAGCAGTTCACAATCTCTTAGGGGTTAATGTGGTTGTCATTATAATTTGGTTGACTGCAATGGAGTATCAATGCCAAAGATGACCATGGATTTATTCCAACTATTGTAAGCTTAAAATCCGTTTTCAATTCTTCTTTAACGATATCATAGATACATCTTATTAAAAGTTTTTGACATGACAAGTTGGTAAGAAAGTATTCCTCCTCATATCAGACATCTTCCATTTTTTGTTGAAGTTAGTGACAAGGCTGAAGTATTGTTGGCTGTTTTCGCTCTTTCATCTTTTTTTTTATCTCATCCTTTAAAGAAAAGCGATTTTGAGGTCACACTGTTTGAGATCATAGTTAACTGAAATTGACTGGTATTTGTCCTGTAGCGTTTGTATGATTTTAACTCAAATTAGTTATGAAATTAGATTACCTTGCTCAGATCTGTGTCAGATGCTTATTGGTTTTAGAAATTTATGAATCTATGCAATATATGCAAATTGCTTAAAGAAAAATAAGATCTATCCACATTAAATTCTATAGGAATATTCAGCTTATTCGTGAGATATTACATTGCACATGTCTATCAATTTTTAATTGTAATATTCACAAACCTAAACGGACATAAAACATGTTATAAATTTCATGTGTCCGAAGTGCTTTCTGTGATTTACCTTCACCAGGAGAGCTCAAACTGAATATTTGAAAGCCAAGAATGAATAAAACCGAAATAGTTGAAGAGCTATATACCTAAAAAGAACCTAAATCTAGCCAAATCCATCTCAGGTCAACTTTGCTTGAGGGATATGAAACCTTAGTTTCTTCAAAATTTTAAAATTTATAAACAGACAATTTTAGAAAGGTTTGTTTTAAATCATGTCAGTACTGAAGTACTGACTATTGAACTGATGGTACCCTCAGGGACTGATAGTTCACCAGCAGAGGTATCAACACAGTGCTGTAAAAAAAATGAAAACAACACGTTATAAATTTCAATCGCTTTTCTGGATTTACCTTCGTCTTTAGTCAGGAAAGTTCAATAGCACTTAAGAAAAAAAATTTCTTTATATTTTGTAGGCTTATCAGACTGGAATGTTCCATTGTATAAAGTTCGTCTACAGAAGAATTATCTCAAGGTCATCACTGATATACAACATGAAAGCATAGTAGATCATCTAATATCAAGAGAGGTAGTGTCAGTTGATGATGGAAAAAAGATAGAATCTGGTAAATCCCCACAGGAAAAGAACAGGACATTAATGGACATGCTTTTGCGTAAAAATGAACGGGGATTTAATGAATTTCTCAAAGCCCTACGAAAAGACTCAATTTATTCAGATCTAGCAGATCAAATAGAAAAGACAGAAGTTACGCCCACAGATATGGGAATCCTTTATAAATGTTTGAAATAAAATGAATATAATTTCTTTCAGAAAAAAAACTTTACACACAGCAAAGACAAATCACCTGTAAACAATGAATAGGAGGAGGTTTTGTCAATCCAATTTTCAATGATTTGGTCACTTAAACCATCAATGTGAATGAATCACAATATACTAGTGATAAAAATCTTTTATATTAAACATATTTCATGTGTGAGTGTCATGCATGGCAAGGAAAAAAGCTAAAATATGTACTAACCCCTTTTATGAGTTTTCATTCCTAAACACAAATCCCCTTTATGAGTGTTCGTTCCTAAACAGATATGATAATGATGAAACAGTCTTGACATATTTTGTTAAAGAAAATAATTTTCATGTATTTTTATTGAATTATTGGAAACCAGTAATTGTTACAGTTTACTTAGGCCACGTTCGCCTAGGCGAACAAACCTTAGTGTTTTTATCATTCAAAATTTCATAAACAGACAATTTGCACACATGATATTTCATGACTACTGAGCTGATGATACCCCTTAGAACTTAACATCCACAAGCAGTGGCATCTAACCGTTGATGGTAAAAAAACTTGTAAAGTAAACTTAGTTTAAAGTTTGCTATGCAACTGGGTAAATCAGCTGCGTTCAGAAAACAATTAAAGGAGTAGGTCCGGTAAGGGCCTATTTTGGCCTCAAATTTCAGGTTCATCTGATGAACGATTTTGTACACTTTTTAAATACTTAAGTGTCTATTTCAGTCGATTCAATTAGTTTGTGTGAAAGATTTGAACTGATTTAGTCATTTCAGACGCTCATATTCAAGCTTAAATATGAAAAATCTTTCAAATATGCCATAATATGTCACTTTTCAGATAGTTTTTGTCAAAAATGAAAGTGGCCGCATCCGTGTTCACCCTCAACCTTTATATATGTTATGTATTATCATCAAATACAACTTCAAAATATCATTAAATATTAAGAATGAACACGTATGCGGCCACTTCCATTTAAGACGAAAACCGTCTAAAATTTAACTCAAATGCTAATATTGTGAAGATTTCAGTAATTTAGCATGACTTAATGATGCTAGTACCCGATATATGTGCATATTATTTTCATTTACCTGTGTTTAAAGTTATTGCAAATGGATGGTATTTTTGTTCGAGCATATTGTTTTTCTTTAATTATTTAACATTTCTTACCGATATAACATGTTACTTTTATTATTCTTCCCTTAGTTTATTTATTTTGTATTCTAAATTATTTATTTTGTAAAAATATTTCCTTTCTCTATTGGTACTGTACAGGTATACCTAACAACAAAATTATTTTCATTTACCTGTGTTTAAAGTTATTGCAAATGGATGGTATTTTTGTTCGAGCATATTGTTTTTCTTTAATTATTTAACATTTCTTACCGATATAACATGTTACTTTTATTATCCTTCCCTTAGTTTATTTATTTTGTATTTACATTGTGTCATAGGTCAAATTTATTTGTAAAGTGTATGTTCAATGGTGTTAATATGTCCTTTGATTGAGTTAAGCTATTTCAGTTGATATTTTATAGTGTGTCTTTCTATGTTGTGATGTTACACTATTGTTTCAGAATAAGGGTGAAGGTTAGGTACCATTAAAACGTTTAAACCCGCTGCATTTGTTTGCACCTGTCCTAAGTCAGGAATCTGATGTTCAGTAGTTGTTGTTTGTTGATGTGGTTCATAAGTGTTTCTCGTTTCTCGTTTTTTTATATAGATTAGACCGTTGGTTTTCCCGTTTGAATGGTTTTACACTAGTAATTTTTTGGGGCCCTTTATAGCTTACTGTTCGGTGTGAGCCAAGGCTCCGTGTTGAAGACCGTACTGTGACCTATAATGGTTTACTTTTATAAATTTTGACTTGGATGGAGAGTTGTCTCATTGGCACTCATACCACATCTTCTTATATCTATTGTATTGTCAAAAACAGCCCATATTTATGTAGCAGAAGTATTCTACTTTCCAATAAAAAGCTAAAAGTTTACATTATAACAATTTTGTAAAACTGATATATTTATATAATTGTATAGTTAAATACATGTAATACCATTTAGATGTCAGGACGAGATCAACCTGATAAACTGCTAGGTTGAAATTGTTTGCAAATAGATGGCTATCACTATTCTTCTTCCTGTAATGTGTATGCAAGTATCCATATATATTTGTTCCCCATTTACAAAGGTTGCACTGCTGTAAATATATACAATGCAATTTCTCATATGAACTTCTTTTACAGCTTAAACTGTACCACTTTTACTATGAAGTTTCGTAAACAATTATATCCAAGAATGGAAAGTTCATATTTACTACTATTTTTTTCAAAGGTCAAAACATAAGGCTGTGCGGCATATTTTGAACATTTATATGCCTCAAACTTCTAAGAGTTTAAACTCATAATAAAATTATGTACTTCCTCTCCCTACACGTTTGGTCCTACTCAGAATTTTATTTGGCCGCTATACATGTGTATTTATACTGGTTAAGTTCTTAAGATGTGTCTTTTTGAGATGAAACATGGATATCATATCTGGGAACCAGTAGGTAAACAAAACATCTATCAATAGTATATATCCCAAAAGAGGCGTGGTTTGTGAAACAGCTGTATTTACAAAGTGCAACCTAAAGGAAATGTCATAACTTAATACAATATACTATATGTACTATTTTGAAAAATTTTGAATGACCTACATAGCTGCAATTAGGTTATTATCAATTTCAGTTCATTCCTAACTTTGTATGTTAATCTCTTAAAGCTGTTAAATGTTACCTTAATAGTAAATTTAGGTCTAAATTTTAAGTCTAATGAATATATACCAATACCAAATTGTTTATTATAGTGACATTTGTTTTATAACAATAAACAATATTTCAATAAGCGGTTTTAACTACATGTGACAACACCCGGCCCTTTGGACCTATAAGTCACTTTAAACATTTATACATATAAAATAATAATCATTTAACAGCGGACAAAATTAGAATTCATGTTTGATTGTTCCTATACAAAATGTTTTTTCTTTTATTAAATGCATCGTTCAAAAACTTAGCAGTTTTTCTAGGATATTTGCAGATAAGCACTTTAAATTGTTCATCCTCAGAGATGTCTTCAAAAGAGTGTTCTATATTCAGTATAAGTTGAATTCTTAGATCTCTTAGAATAATAAGGTATGCACATATGAAATAACTAATTCAGAGACCGAATCTTGTCCTTAAGGTGTTTCTGAATTTTTTGACATTAGCTTCTTGTGTATTGTGTTTATCAAACAGCTACTTTTATATGTACATTTGTAAATAAAAATGCTTCTTCATAAATATGGTTTTGAACAAAAATGCAACGATATGCTCTTATTATGTAAATATAGTTGTTGCTAACATAACATGGTATTTCACAACGAATGTTTTTGACATAACGCATCTGTTCTGTCAAATGAACTTATCTTTCATCCATCAGAAAAAAGGATTTTAAATCCAAACAGAACAGTGATAATTGTTTGGTTATATTATATTTTCAAATATTTGAAAGTGTTTGAGAACATATCAAATGTCAAAAACATTTGAAAACCTACTACCAAGCAAATGTTTGGCCTCTTTCAAGTCAGACTATCTGCACCATGTGTTGTTTGGTGGTGTTTTAGCGCAATGCTATACAACTTCCTGCTTGATTTGCCTTTTAAACATTTTTATTCGATCGTCACTGATGATTCTTTTGCTAAAGTTCTTCAGAAGATACCAAGACCTTGTTGATACATATTCAACTTCACAAATAATACATGATGGTCTTGAAGTATAGATTTTAGTCACTGACGTTGTTTATCATCCTAATTACGTGTTGTAGTGTTCTTTTATTTGTCTTTGTAAATTACTTTTACTGTTAAGCCCTTTTTTGGTAATACCCTTTTGGTGTGGCTCAGTACTTAAACATCCCGCCATTGTGTTATTATGCTATGGTCATTTTCGTATTCTTGTCTTTTTTTGCCTATGTGCTTTGGTCTATATGCCATTTTGTTTTTCTTTGTTGACATATTTGTCTTTTTTTTTATAGTGATTAAGATTATAACACAATGTTGACTGCAGTACCCCTATTTTTGACATTTTTATCTAGCATGCCTGTTTGTTTTGTTCACACATTGTTGTCAATATAATGGAATTTTATGCGACTGTCATACAAGTGGAAGGCTTAGCTAGCTTTAAAACCTGGTTTACTTGAACTTCACCATTTTCTACATAAGGAAATGCTTGAACCAAGTCAGGAATATGACAGTTGTTTCCCATTCGTTTGATGTGTTTGAGCTTTTGATTTTGCCATTTGATAAGGGAATTTTTCGTTTTGAATTTTCCTTGGAGTTCAGAATTTTTGATATTTTACTTTTTTATAAACGAAGAACACAATGACGTTCGAATCATAAGCCTGGAATCTTTTATGAGTATTTTTTATGTTGTACGTCTGTTTTATTTAGAGGAGTCGAGTGTGAAAAATTCAAATTTCAATATTCATTGTCAGTTTTACAAAATTTAACCCCCTTTTCCTTTCATCGCCAATATCAAAATTTGTATTTAAAAATAAGGAGATTTGATATGATTGCCAATTAGACAACTATCCACCAAAGTTCAAATAAAGTGGATGTAAGCAAATTATAGGCAACTACGGCCTTCAACAATGAGAAAATAACCATACCGTTTAGTCTGCTATAAAAGGCCCCAACATGACAAATATGAAACAATTCAATTGACAAAACTAACGGCCTAATTTATAACAAAACAATTTATGAAAAACAAATATGACAGACGTGAACCAACGACAACCACTGAACTACAGGCTCCTGACTTGGGACAGGCACATACAGAATGTGGAGTGGTTAAACATGTTTGTGAGCACTCAACCCTCCCCTAACCTGGGACAGTGTTTCATAGTTATGTCATTTACTTCCACTTATTCCTTTATTCCATTATTAACTATTTCTATTGGTTTTATGTGAACATGTTTATATATTCAAAAATATTCAATAGTGATTAGATTTTGTCAGATATGATTTTGCAACATTAATAATAGTCTGATTTCATGCTTGATAATTTTCCCCTTGTACTCAATCACCCCAAACGTGTATATAAAATCCTAAGGCCAGATTTGTCATAAATTCGTCAACTTTTTTCAATGCTTATACATTTTGCCTTCAAACTGTTTGTATTAGTGCAACTGTTTTATTTTTGAATACCTAGTGACTTTGTAATTTACAAATTTAATATGTTATGATACAGTTGTTTGTTGTTGTTTATGTGATTATTGTAGCACTATATGTGTTAAAGTAGTGTCTTATACTTGTATATATGTATAAACTGTTAATGCATTCTACTTCCCTTAAAGGTAAAAACAAAACTACATACATGTTCTTGTTCTTATTGATTGTGCCAAGAAATCAAAGCAACATCTACACAGTGAACGTGACAGTCTAACCATTCACAAAATCAAAAGGAGGTGAAAGATACTCAAAATGATAAGTCGAAGACAAGCTGAAAATGCCATGGCAAAAAAATACGACCAAAAGACAGACAACAGTTTACAAAATGCAACATAAAAAACTAGACTGAGCAGCACAAAGCTTACCAAAAACCGGTAGCTAGAAGCTCTTTTTCGAACAATGAAAGGGATATACTTTGGTTAAACCTCATGTTTATCAGTAGAAACATTCATTCAAAGATGAAGAAGACCTGATGAAAATAAAGGTTCCTTTGCGGCGACAAAATATCATTGGTCCCTAATCAAACAATCGTCCCAGATAGCAAATGTTTTAAATCATCGAATTCATCAAGGGTTTTGATGAGTGAAAACCTACATCTGCATTTGATAGGGATCAAACATGGTAGTGATATTGTGGCGACATGAAATAACAGATATTTTCACAAGACCACTCCCTCCAAAAAAGTCCCCATTAAAATTTGTATTAATTCACTGTGGTTTCGTTCAGTGAAACATTTCAATATAGTTGGCAAATGATTCAACAAAAATTCAATTCAGTTAACAATCTGATAAATACAATATGTTTATTGTCAAGCCTGCAACTTCTGTGGCAGAAAGCTGGACAAAGGAATAGTGATGTGACGGCGTTAACTAACTACTTAAAAGGTTTATATTTTGGAAGGTGGGAAAACCTGGAATCTTCATACTTTGTATATAGATGCCTTATGTTATGAAGTTTCCGTCTGCCATATATCCATTGTCCTTTACCTCATTTTCATGGTTCAGTGACTGCTTACAAAAAAATTGAAGATTTGTTGTTATGTTAATTTCTCTCTTATTATGCGTACAAGGATAACTATATTTAGTATTTTATTTCTTGCCAGGTCTTCATAACTGTCAGACAGTTGTCATCTGACCTCGACCTCATTTCAGGGATCAGTGAACAAGGTTAAGTTTTCGTAGTCAAGTCAATATGTCAGATACTATAAGCGATAGGTCTACTATACATGTGTATTTGGTGTATGGAATGATTGTAAGGTGTACATGTCCAACTGGCAGGTGTCATCTGACCTTGACCTCATTTTCGAGGTTCATTGGTTAAAGTTAATTTTTGTTTTTTGGTCTTTTTTTCCAATACTATAAGCCATAGGTCACCTATATTTAGTGTATAGAATAATTGTAAGGTGTATTTCCTGTTTGGTTTATCTGACATTGGCCTCATTTCTTTGATAATGTTAAGTTTATGTGAAACTTGTAGTAAAGCTTTACATTTAGGACTATTAACATAAAATCAATGATCAGTGAAGCGGGCGAGACATATCAGCGTGTGCACTCTTGTGATAGATTACCAGCAGGCTGTCCACAGATAATAAGTGTTCCATCAATAATTATCTAATCCAAGGTATTTTTATATGAACGCAAATATTTGATACCGTATAATGGTATGGCGACTTTGTCGTCGTCGTCCGAAAAAAGTGGTTTCCGGACAATAACTTTAGTATTAGTGAATGGATTTCTATGAAATTGTACTACAAGGCTGCGCACCACAAAAGGAAGGTTAGGATTGATGTTGGGGTTATTGTCTAAAATGGTAAGGAACAAAAGGCCAAAAAGAAGATTGTTTTCTTGTTTCAGGACAATAACTAGTACTTGAGTATAAGCCTATGGATCTCTTTGAAATTGTACCACAAGGTTCTAAACACGGTTAGGTTAGGATTGACTTTTTGGGTTTATGGCCCTTATTGTTTAGGAGTAAGGGGCCAAAACAATACTTTCCCATACTTTGTAAGAATCATGCAGGTAACTGTTGATTCATGACTCGTGCACCCCTCTTCAAATGTCTTTATATTTTGTTATTGAAGAATGCATGGTATGAAATTAAGTTTCATATATTTACTTTTTTCTTTTGACCCTTGTTGCAATGGAAACCACCCAAGCAATATTTTTCCTAAATACGTGCAAAAAGAAGCTTTTGAAAATTGAAAATATTAAGGGAAATTAAGTAACATGGAAATAAAGATAATCAATAAAAACAATAAGAACTTTTACAATGTTGACAATGTTGATTAAACTAGAGGCTCTCAAGAGCCTGTGTCGCTCACCTGACTCTACTTTGGTTTTAGAAATCATGTAAAGATAGATAAAAATCATAACAGATACCCAAATAATGATTGAGGCCAAATTTGGTTTAATATTGGTCCCGTTATTTAATAAAATATCCTGGTGGCCATCTTGAACAGTAAATCGGCAACAAAGTAGCAACACTTGGTCAGCACCTCATAAGGAACATTCATGCCAAGTTTGGTTTCATTCCATTCAGTGGTTAACTCTAAAAGAAGACATTTGTATGTATTTCCCATAGGGTCCTATGTTAAACTAAGTCACCCGCTGGTGGCCATCTTGGATGATGGACCGACTGCAAAGTGACAACACTTGGTCAGCACCTTATAAGGAACATTCATGCCATGTTTTGTTTCATTCTATTCAGTGGTTCTCTAAAAGAAGACATTTGTATGTATTTCCCATAGGGTCCTATGTTAAACTAAGTCCCCCTCTGTCGGCCATCTTGGATGATGGACCGACTGCAAAGTAATAACACTTGGTCAGCACCTCATAAGGAACATTCATGCCATGTTTTGTTTCATTCCATTCAGTGGTTCTCTAAAAGAAGACATTTGTATGTATTTCCCATAGGGTCCTATGTTAAACTAAGTCCCCCGCTGGCGGCCATCTTGGATGATGGACCGACTGCAAAGTAACAACACTTGGTCAGCACCTCATAAGGAACATTCATACCATGTTTGGTTTCATTCCATTCACTGGTTCTCTAAATGAAGACATTTGTATGTATTTCCCATAGGGTCCTATGTTAAACTAAGTCCCCCCGCTGGCGTCCATCTTGGATGATGGACCGACTGCAAAGTAACAACACTTGGTCAGCAACTCATAAGGAACATTCATACCATGTTTGGTTTCATTCCATTCACTGGTTCTCTAAAAGAAGACATTTGTATGTATTTCCCATAGGGTCCTATGTTAAACTAAGTCCCCCGCTGGCGTCCATCTTGGATGATGGATCGGCTACAAAGTAACAACACTTGGTCAGCACCTCATAAGGAACATTCATGCCATGTTTGGTTTCATTCCATTCAGTGGTTCTCTAAATGAAGACATTTGTATGTATTTCCCGTAGGGGCCTATGTTAAACTAAGTCCCCCGCTGGCGGCCATCTTGGATGATGGACCGACTGCAAAGTAACAACACTTGGTCAGCACCTCATAAGGAACATTCATACCATGTTTGGTTTCATCCCATTCACTGGTTCTCTAAAAGAAGACATTTGTATGTATTTCCCATAGGGTCCTATGTTAAACTAAGTCACCCGCTGGCGGCCATCTTGGATGATGGACCGACTGCAAAGTGACAACACTTGGTCAGCACCTTATAAGGAACATTCATGCCATGTTTTGTTTCATTCTATTCAGTGGTTCTCTAAAAGAAGACATTTGTATGTATTTCCCATAGGGTCCTATGTTAAACTAAGTCCCCCTCTGTCGGCCATCTTGAATGATGGACCGACTGCAAAGTAACAACACTTGGTCAGCACCTCATAAGGAACATTCATACCATGTTTGGTTTCATTCCATTCACTGGTTCTCTAAATGAAGACATTTGTATGTATTTCCCATAGGGTCCTATGTTAAACTAAGTCCCCCCGCTGGCGTCCATCTTGGATGATGGACCGACTGCAAAGTAACAACACTTGGTCAGCACCTCATAAGGAACATTCATACCATGTTTGGTTTCATTCCATTCACTGGTTCTCTAAAAGAAGACATTTGTATGTATTTCCCATAGGGTCCTATGTTAAACTAAGTCCCCCGCTTGTGTCCATCTTGGATGATGGATCGGCTACAAAGTAACAACACTTGGTCAGCACCTGATAAGGAACATTCATGCCATGTTTGGTTTCATTCCATTCAATGGTTCTCTAGAAGAAGTTCAAAATGTAAAAAGTTAACGACGGACGACGCCGGACGCCAAGTGATGAGAAAAACTCACTTGGCCCTTTGGGCCAGGTGAGCTAAAAATGTTAAAATTTTAGATTTATATTCTAGTTTATTTCCATAGCAACCATTTAAAAATACGTTAAAATTCCATAATAATAAAATTCAAAAGACCAACAGTGCCTGAACATGTCACTGGCAAATTTTGAAAAACAATAAATTAGATGGCCCGAGAACACAGTTATTTCGTAGTGCATTTCTTTTAGACAATAAATTCAAATTAAAAAAATCGCACCTGCTCTATCTAAAAAAGATTTTTACAGTGTAGTGTACTGCTATTGATAAAAATAATATTAAAATTATAGAAACTTCTACCAGCTCTAACTCAAAATATTGACAATTCTGTGTTAAGGGGGGCTAAAATTCAGTTTGACAGCTTCCGACATTCTAATTTTTGACCTTTTTTAACTGGACCAAATCACTACTTAACATAAAGATTCAGCACCCAAATTTTTTTAACATGTAATTTCATCCCATTACTTAATATTTCATGCATAAAATATCAAGAAATAAATTGGGAAAGTGTATAAAAAAAAAAGCAAGTTATACACTGTTCACACTAGGGACTATATTCGTAGACAACGAAAACCAAAGGACGATAACTGTGTCCTTGGACCAGATATTTATAAAATAATAAGAAATTCGTGTGTGTGTTCTTTTTTTCTTTAAAAAAATATTTTTATTCAAAAATTATCCATTTTCATAAAAATCCAGATTGCCATACAGGCAAACAATAAAAAATCTTGAACTTAATAAGCCCAAATCTTCCATTTATTGTGCATTTGTGACACAAATTTGTTAACTGTAAATCAAAATATATGATTTATGAAGTTTTATTGATACAGAATGAAAACTACTTTCTCTGGATATCGTGCACCCCTCTTTTTTGAACAAAGTTTTTCTGAATTATAAAATTTGTCGAAAAATAGATAATGTGGTATTCTATTATGCTTCCTTGTGAACATTTTGAGCATATAAGCTGAACAATGTTGCTGTCTATTACAATTTTCAAGATAATAGACAAATACAATAGAAATTGTTAAAATTTATCATTTAAGGGCAATAACTCCTGTAACAGCTTGTCTGACAGTTTTGATGAAACTGACAATAGGTTGATCTCATCATATCTGCTCCAGTCAGATTGTCTCTATCTTTAGTGGTTTTCAAGATAATAGACAAAACTTGCATTTTATCCCTATGGGTATTTATAGCCAAGTCAGCCATGTTTGTGGGTAGGTGGGATCATTGAAAACATTGTTGTAGTAGATACTCTAATGACAATTTTGGCCAAGTTTGGTTGGTTAGTAATTTCCCGGACAAAAGAGGTCGATGGTTGTGAAATTAGAAGTGATGAGAAAAGCTCTCTCACCCCCTTCTCGCCCTAAGAAGTCTATGGGAAAATTGTAAAAAAACAATTTCAAATGGTCACAACTTGAAAACTAATTTTAATAATGATAAGGGGTCTTCAGTAACTATTGCAAGACTACAATGGGATGACCTGCTTTTAATTTAACTACTGGGTCAAATTAAAAAAAATATATACAAAGATCAAAGTTGGACGTATGCATGATGTTTTATATTCATATTATTTTCTACTTAGTCTTCTTACAATGTAATTGAAATAATTCACTCTCTACAATTTGTTGGTTTACAGTAAATCATAATAATTTCATGCTATTGACACAATTTCTGGAATAACAACGAACAAGAATCTATGATATTTCTGTAACATAAAATTAGAATTTATAAATTGATATTTCTGTCTTATTATCTCCCTTTGTTATGAATTATCCATGTTGTATTTGTCTGTCTGTTGATAAGGGTCTACAATTCGTCTATACACTGCCAAGAATTTGTCCCCTTTGTTTCTTGTGACCTTTTGACCTTCTTCTGTGCTGATGTACAGTTTTTCTACAACTTGGTCAGATTCCTGCAAAATGTTCATAGAATTTTAATTATATAGCTAAAATTATTCCATAAAAATGCATTGTTATATAACACTATGTCAGTCAGTCCTGCATAGACTTTTGTTTAAATAAGACACAATTTACATACTTTTCCCATATGCCTCCATCTTGGTTTCTAAAAAAGTTTATTTTGATTTTTTTTAAATTGAGAATATGCACTTTACAGATTTAAATGATATAGATAAAATTACATATATACTCAACCCAAGATAACACATTCAGGTAAATAAGCTAGGATCCTTTTTAAAACAGTCTATTTTGGTCACTAATCTCATGCGGAGAGTTGTCTCATTGGCAATCATACCACATCTTCTTTTTATACGCCCGTTTACGGGACGTATTATAGTATACCGTTGTCCATCCGTCCGTCCGTCGTCACTATGTCGGACATTAATTCAAAAACGCTTTAACCAATATGTATGAAACTTTGGTGAATTGTTTATATCTATTGACGTGAGCTTCCTTTTGTTTTTTTATAAATTTCGGATTTACTGTTTCCGAGTTTTGGGGTTTTATTCATTAAAAAAAGGGGGGATTTTCCAGTTTTCAGACAATAACTCAAAAACAATTTCACCAATTTGCAAGAAACTTTGGTGAATTGTTTATTTCTATCGACATGAGCTCCTTTTGATTTTTATAAATTTCAGACTACACGTTTCCGATTTATGGGGTTTTATTCATTACAAAAAGAGGGATTTTCCAGTTTTCGGACAATGATTCAAAAATGCTTATGAAACTTTGGTAAATTGTTTATATCTATTTTTGTAAGCTCCCTTTTGATTTTTATAATTTTTTCGATTTTACATTTCTGAGTTATAAGATTTTATTTGTTTATAATCTGACAACAGATTTACTAAATATTGCGCAACAGCACAGTGTATTGCACAACAGCAAGAAATCTTTCATATAACCAATTTCAAGTTCTTTGACTACATTTATTCAGAAACCTATAAAATATCAAATATTTAATTAAAATCCAAATTCAGACCTGTATCAAGCTTGAATATTGTGTCCATTTTTGCCCCAACTGTTCAGGGTTGGACCTCTGCGGGCGTATCCAGCTGCGCTCAGCGAAGCAGTTTCTTTATATAGAACTGAGGACAGGGGACTCTTGAAATATTTTCTTTTATTATGTATATTAATGATCTTGTTGATATTGTTTATTTTGTTATGTTGTGTCACATGCTATAAATATATAGTGTAATGGCAATAAAGATTTGAATCTAATTGAATCTAAAAAGTGAATTAAACTGGGACATTTTACAATTAACTGAAGGCCTTATAGTTACAAGTATACATTTTCCCTTTCATCTCTTTTATCTATTATAAATATTAGGTTTCCTGATGTTATACCACTTATAATATGTTTCATAATGTATGCTGTAAGAGTTATATTCTTCTGCTATTCATGTTACAATCTAATAACAAGAGAAGGTAACTGTGTTTGAACGTCTGATCCCACTTTTTCAGCAGTTATCTTTCTTAAGATCTTGTTTACTTTTATCTCTAATCTCCAACTGATTTTTCTTTATCAAGTTTTTCATCCTGAATATGCATGAACTAGTTGCCACTGGACCCAAAATAAACATTTGAACAGTCTATCAAACATAATTGGATTTGCTTACAAAAAACGGATTTTTTTATTTGAAGATCTATTTTTAGTACTAAGTAAACATGGTAAAAGTTAACCTCACCAATTCAGTATCAGGAATTCTTTCAAACAATGGAAACTCATCAAAATGGCTGACCATCCAATCATGGAGATCTTTAACATCTGTGATAGTATACACTATACCCTAAAAAACAAAATGGCTGACAATCCAATCATAGAGATCTTTAACATCTTCGATAGTGTACACTATACCCTAAAAAACAAAATGGCTAATAATCAAATCATGGAGATATTTAACATCTGTGATAGTATACACTATACCCTAAAAAACAAAATGGCTGACCATCCAATCATAGAGATCTTTAACATCTGTGATAGCATACACTATACCCTAAAAACAAAATAGCTGACCATCCAATCATGGAGATCTTTAACATCTGTGATAGTGTACACTATACCCTAAAAAACAAAATGGCTGACAATCCAATCATGGAGATCTTTAACATCTGTGATAGTGTACACTATACCCTAAAAAACAAAATGGCTGACCATCCAATCATAGAGATCTTTAACATCTGTGATAGTGTACACTTTACCCTAAAAAACAAAATGGCTGACAATCCAATCATGGAGATCTTTAACATCTGTGATAGTATACACTATACCCTAAAAAACAAAATGGCTGACCATCCAATCATGGAGATCTTTAACATCTGTGATAGTGTACACTATACCCTAAAAAACAAAATGGCTGACAATCCAATCATGGAGAGCTTTAACATCTGTGATAGTGTACACTATACCCTAAAAACAAAATGGCTGACCATCCAATCATGGAGATCTTTAACATCTGTGATAGTATACACTATACCCTAAAAAACAAAATGGCTGACCATCCAATCATAGTGATCTTTTACATCTGTGATAGTGTACACTATACCCTAAAAACAAAATGGCTGACCATCCAATCATAGTGATCTTTAACATCTGTGATAGTGTACACTATACCCTAAAAACAAAATGGCCGACCATTCAATCATGGAGATCTTTAACATCTGTAATTTACAGATAACTGTATTGTATTTGAAGCGTACGTCCATCAGTAGTTTTACTGTCTCAAATTTAGTTTACCTGGCGACGCGTAGCGGAGACAGGTAAACGGATATTTGCGACAGTAAAACTATCGATGGACGTCCGCAAAGCTTCAAATACAATACAGTTATCTCTATTATAATGCAAAATAAACAAATCATTCAATTTTAGTCATTATTTCAGTGTAAAATTTTCATCAAACGAAAATTCCGCTAATGATGTTATCTTCTTTGGCGCCATAACTAGGTGACGTCATAGGTATGCTTCCGGCATCAAACGTAAACACCGGGCGTTTTTTGGCGTCTTGTTCGCTTTAGAATGTAATAAAATATGATAAAAAGAAGATTTCTAGGTGCAAAATGTGAGTTTTTTTGCTTATTATTGGAGAAATTACATGTCAATACATTCCGGAATTCAAAATGTTGGCTTCCTTAGTTACAGACAGGGAGATAGAGAATTTTACTCTTATTGTCATCCAATCAGAAACATTGATACAAAATAATTGCATTAGAATAGTATAAACTATACCCTAAAAAAGTGAAAAGGCAGAATACATGTACTTCAAAATTTTTTCAAAATACTGTAAATTCAGAAATCTTTGCAGCAATTATTGTAACGCTTTATGAAGAATGTAAAACAAATGTGAGATTAGATATTGTAATATCAGTGAATGTTGCATACAAATAATGCTATCAAAAGTTAAAATATGAACCTTGTTTTGGCACTATCTTTTCCATAATAACAATTTCTGAATTTAAAGTATATAGTTTTTCGTTATTTTCATTCTCTGTACATTTACATAAACTATAGCCCTTTTAGGCTATTTGAGAATTTAGAGATCAACATATTATTGTAAAGACAAAGACACCTGTAAATTTTTGAAGACTGTATGTTGCCATCTAGATGTCCTCGTTATTTGTGTCATTAGGGTTACAATTTCTTTTATAATTGCTATATTTATATTATTAAATGATTATACGTATTTACAAATACTTGAATGTGATTGGTCTGTTAAAAGTCACCTACCCCAACAGCTATAACATAAGCATACTCTGCTAACAAGGTCTGACTAATAATTCTCCATTTGTGTTTAGTCTTCTTAAAATGTGGATCAGGAAACAAGAAAAACATTTTCTTTAACTATAAAATAAAGAATATGTAATATATAATAGTCTTGTAAAATACAATATTATATAGTTATAATTATTTAATATATAATTTTAAGGTGGATCATCGGAATATATTTCCTCAGATAGAATATTTTTATACTTTGCCAAAAATTGTTTTTTCAATGCTTTTTCAAAAATATAATTAAAAGTATGGGTCACCATGCTAATTTTCAAGCTTCAAGTTGTGCAAAATTGCCCAAATTTGTATAGATTGTTCATAATGAAACATATTTTTGTGAATAGAAAGAAATCTATGAGATAGAATAATGAAATAAAATATGAGAAGATAGGTTTCATAATATGCTTTAAGAAAATAAAAGAGAAAATTTCACTATCATTCTAGTATAAAATAACTATAAGAGTTATCTCCCCTTAAATGGCCAAGTTGAAAAATTGATTCTGAAAACATGAATATTTGGTTTTGTTAAAACAGTTTGAGTAATGCAAGGAATCACCTATTTTTCCTTATACAAATATGCAGTCTTATACATAAATTTCAAATCTGTCTCAAAATGGAACATAAAATTAAACATTGCATTGTATTTAGCATTGGAAGTCTATTATATCAACTACAATTATGACCAAAGGAAGATAACTCCAATTTTAAATATTAATTTAACAATGACATCATTAATGTATTAGAACAGTTCTGTACTAGAGTCCTGCACAATTCATATGATTTTCTTGACAAGTATAGTTATAAACATGCATATCAATGTGTAACTTAAATATCTGAATATATGTATTCTAATAATAAACTCAAATGTTCATTGATATGATGTATAGAATGTTGTGTGTATAAAAATAAGGAGATGTGGTGTTGTTCAGTGGATGTGCTTCATACGTGTTTCTCATTTCTTGTTTTTTATATAGATTAGACCGTTTTATCCTGTTTGAATTGTTTTACACTAGTCATTTTGGGGGCCTTTATAGCTTGCTGCTCAGTGTGAGTAAAGGCTCCGTGTTGAAAGCAATGAATGAGGTTGTTAAATTTGATATATGCCTCTTTGTGCTTCTTTGTTACATATTTGTTTGTTTTTATAGTGATTAAGACTATAACACAATGTTTACTGCTGTACCCCTATTTTTGACATTTTTACCTATTATTGCTGTTTGTTTTGTTCATGCATCATTGTCAATATAATGGAATTTGATGCGACTGTAATACAAGTGAGAGGTTTAGCTAGCTTTAAACCCAGGTTTAATCCACCATTTTCTACATAAGAAAATGCCTTTACCAAATTAGGAATATGACAGTTGTTATCCATTCGTTTGATGTGTTTTAGCTTTTGATTTTGCCATTTGATTAGGGACTTTCCGTTTGAATTTTCCTCGGAGTTCAGTATTTTTGTGATTTTACTTTCTACTTTGACCTATATTTTTTTTACTTTTTTATACATTGTGACTTGGATGGAGAATTGTCTCATTAGCACTCATACCACATCTTCTTATTTAAATAAAATGGTTAATGACATTGTGTTTAAATTTTAAAAAGACATTTTGTCACATGCACATTTAGTATCAACCACAAACAGAAAAAAACATCAATTTGAAGAAAAAGTTATACAGAGAATTCTTGATCAGTAAATGTCTGATCTAACCATCAGAATCAAACTTTTGTCATAGTTTATGGTTCATGACCTTATGTTTTAATTTAAAAAGATTGTCAAGTGTCATCATCTAGAAACAGACAATCCCTATTTTTTTGACAATTAAGCACATAACTCTTAAATGTTAAATGACAAAGCAGTCAAAAACTGAACTTGACCTGCAATTTTCAAAATGGAAAATCCCTTATCAAATGACAAAAGCTCAAACACATCAAACAAATGGAAAATAACTGTCATATTCCTGATACGTAGAAAATGATGTACTAAACCTGGTTTTATAGCTACCTAAACCTCTCATGAAGATCAAACTGTGTGTTTATGTATGCAAAGTAAAATGCAATTGTATGGCTGTCATACCACCAGCCCCCAACCCCAGATTTCCATGCCAGGCTAATCCATCCTCATGAATTATAAATACCATTCCTGAAAGAGATCAGGTTATTTTTGGAACAATTGCATACAAATTTTCTACCATTATAGGTATTACATTAAGATGAAATAATTTCTATTTCTCATATTTAGGTATGCATTAGAATTGTATAATTCATCAGTATCTTTCTTATTGTCAAATCTGGAAAATTACAGAACTTAGGTCAGCCATTACACATGTTATAGGTCATTGTGTGGCATTCAACACTGAGTAAATCTCACACTATATAGTATCAAACTATAAAAAAGAATCCAGAACGACAAAATGTGAAACAATTTAAAATGAGAACAACCTATGGTCTGATTTATACTAAAACAACAATGTAAAAATAATCTAGAAGACAGCAACCATCAAGAACCACAAAATTAGAGTCTCCTGGATTGGGACAGACATATTATTAACTATTGTTTCCTTTATGTCCAGTGAAAAATAGTTCAAAAAGAAGATGTGGTACATTGTATGATTGCCAATGAGACAACTCTCCAAAAGAGACCAAATGACACAGAAATTAACAACTATAAGTCACTGTATGGCCTTCAACATTGAGCAAAGCCTATACAGCATTGTCAGCTATAAAAGGCCCCAAAATGACACATGTAAAACATTTCAAACGAGGAATACTAACGGCATAATTTATGTACAAAATAATAAATAAAAAACAAATATGTTAAACAGCTTACACAGCAAACAATGACAACCACTGAATTGCAGGCTCCTGACTTGGGACAGGCACATACAGAATGAGGCGGGGTGAAACTAGTTTTGAAGAAACTTACTTGTCCTTTTCTGAAGAAATTTGGTAAAAATTTCATGGCATTTGTCCTAATACATGCTATATTCTGGTACTTCTCAGGGTTCTGTGTTCTTAAAGCTTGGATTCGGTCTTTAACATAATCTGAAACTTTAACTCTGATCTCCATGCCAACCATCAAAGTGTCAGGAAACATGGGGGATAAATCAACTGAAAAACAAAATACTGGGTAAAAGCTAACTCAAATGATTCAGCACCCTCTATTGGTCAGTGTCCTCTCGAGCGATCGATAGTGAGTCGGAATGTAATGACTGGATTAGTCGGGTTAGGTAAAAGCACTGAAACAGACTTCTTCCAATTAATTTAACCTGTTTCAGATATATTATGTTCCTGATTACAGCTTTGCCAAAGTTGACAATATATAGAAATTAATGTTTGACCTAGGCATTCTTTACATTTGTTATTTCATTCTCTTCATTAATTAGATATAAGAAGATGTGGTATCTTTAGAGTTCTGCATATTTGAGTCATTCCATATTGACTTAATTTTACATTGATTGAAAACTATAAAACCAATTTTCCATCCAGATAAATAGTTAAACTGAATGAAAAATTCGTAAGGGTTCCGCGGAACCCAGTGTCTCGCCTACTTTTGCTGTTAGTCGCAGGCTCAACAAAAATGGGGAAAAAATTATTAAAAATTTTCCTCTAAATACTATCTTTTGATTGTAAGAAGTTCTGTTCAAGTTTGGTAAAAATCCAAGAAGGTTTATGAATCTAATAAATGTTTTTAAAACTTTAACTGCAGACTGTACGTAATGTTAACTGGAATAAAACTAAGTCCATTTATAAGTAATATACGGAAAAACTGGAAATAAATTTTACAAAATTTCATTCTAGATACTAGCTTTTGATCATAAACAAGCTTCTGTCCAAGTGTGGTACAAATTCAGGATAGTTTAAGAAAGTTATTAAAATTTGAAAAACTTTAACCACAGAGTGAATGTTATGTTAACTGGCAGAAAAACTAAGTCCATATATGAGTAAAATACGGATAAACAGGATTTTTTTTTTACAAAATTTTCTTCTGGATACTATCTTATGATTATAAACATGCTTCTGTCCAAGTTTGGTACAAATCTAGGATAGTTTAAGAAAGTTATTAAAATTTGAAAAACTTTAACCACAGAGTGAATGTAATGTTAACTGGCAGATAAACTAAGTCCATTTACGAGTAAAATACGGATAAACAAGATTTTTTTTTTTACAAAATTTACTTCTGGATACTATCTTATGATCATTAACAAGCTTCTGTCCAAGTCTGGTTGAAATGCAGGATAGTTTAAGAAAGTTATTAAAATTTGAAAAACTTTAACCACAGAGTGAATATTTGAGGACGCTGCCGACGGAATGTAGGATCGCTATGTCTTGCTTTTGCGACAAAAGTCGCAGTCTCGACAAAAATCAACAAACATATATATATAATAAAATGCTTCCCTGAGCGCAACCTGATACGACCGCAGAGGTCGAACCCTGAACAGATGGGGCAAGTTTGGACACAATATTCAAGCTTAATACTGTCTGAATGTGGATTGCGATCAAATTTTTGACATAATATAGGTTTCTGACACAAAATAAATGTGGTCAAAGATCTTAAAAATTTTAAATCGGACATTTAATTTACCTAATATGGTCTGATATCCAAAATCTAAAAACATTGTTAGATTCAGCATATAAAAAAACACCAACAACTTAATTTTAGTTGAAATCAAACAAAGTTTAATTTTGGACACTTCAAACCTTAATATGGACTAATTTGAAAACAGGGCCTAAAAAAAATCTAAATGCGCAATAAGATTCAGTATATCATAGAGCCGCAATAATTCAGTTTTTGATGAAATCAAACAAACTTTAATTTTGGACCCTTTAGACCTCAATGTAGACCAATTTAAAAATTGGGCCCAATATCTAAAATAGTAATACAAGGTTAGAACCCCCAAAAATTAAAGACTTTCAATTAATCCCATTGAAATTGGTTAAAAGATTTGCATTTATTTTCAATTGAAGATTTCTTGCTATTGTGCAATACTGTGCTATTGTGTGTTGTTTTTGCACAATACTTAGTTAATCTGTTATATATAATAATTTACACACCCTGTTTGGTGTGTATCTCCTGTCATATCAGTATTTGTTGCTTTTATATATAAATCAGAAAATATCAATGTAAAAATGGAAAATTTTGGAGGGAAAAAAACACCAAAAAAATTATTAAAAAAAAATCCCCAAAAAATTTGTCCCCCCCCCCCCCCCCCCAAAAAAAAATTTTTGAAAAATTTGTGAAATTTTGAAAAATCTTGAAGAAAAAAATATGAACCCCCCCAAAAAAATTGAAAAAAAAATCCTCCCCCAAATTTTTTTTGAAATTTTGAAGATTATTTTCTTTTCAGGAAAAATGTACAATTTCAGAGAGTTCCAAAAACTTTAACACAAGTTATTGTCTCGAAACTAGAAATATGATGTTTTGGGCCCTTTTTTTGCCCCTAATTTCTAAGCATTTGGGGCAATTACCCCCAAACTCAATCCCAGCCTTCCCTTTGTAGTATGGAACCTTGTAGTACAATTTCAGAGAGATCCATACACTTAAACACAAGTTATTGTCCGGAAACTACAAAAATGCTTGTTTTTGGCCCCTAATTCTTAAACTGTTGGTACCATAACCCCCAAAATCAATCCCAACCTTCCTTTTGTGGTATTGAACCTTCTGGTAAAACTTTATAGATATCCATTCACTTAAACTAAAGTTATTGTACGGAAACCAAATGTGTCTTCGGACGAAGACGAAGTGATAGCATTATACGAACGCAAATTTTTTGCAGTCGTATAAAAAGTTATTAATGTTTCAATTATGGGAGATAATTCAAATAAAAATCAAGTCAGTTTGAATAAAACATGTAAAAACTCAACTTGCATGAAATCACACCCAGATTTTTGGTTTGTTTCATGTTGCTAAGTCTTTAGTTTTCTATGCTGTGTATTGCAGACTGTTGTTTGTCTTTTGGTAATTTTGTCGTTTTTGTCATGGCAATGTCAGTTCGTTTTTGACTTATGAGGGAAAATCCTTTTGATATTTTCCCCTCTCTTTTACTTTAGCATGTGTTTTTTTACCTTAGTCAAGAGCCTGTAGTTCAGTGGTTGCCTTTGGTTGCTGTGTGCCATATTTGTTTATCATTTATTGTTTATGGCCTTATTCATTTTTATACACAACTTTAGGTTACAATTTACTTATATTTAAGTACCTAACAATCCACCATAACCACACCCTACGTCTGCAAATTCTACCAATTTATTATCATCACCTCCATTTTTACTAGAGAATTGTGGGTAAATGTCTGACCAGTCCATACTCTCAGGGTTCAAAGGACTACAAAATAAAACAAGTTGTATATCAAAATTCACTCTCAATACAAAATGTAACAAAGCAATAGAAATTCAATTTTAAAGTGGTTTTATTGGTTCATTAAATTATCATTCATTCAAAATGGGTTTTGGATAGATCATTCATCAAACTAGCAATTAAATCTCAATAGTGGAATCCTAACCTAGAAAATACCTTTTTAGCTGAAAACAGCATAAAACTACTATCAAAGTAACAAAACTTAAACACTCATGGAATAGAATTTCCTCATTTATTATACATGTATAAGTTCCAGTAGAAGAAACATTACAGTATTTGTTTTATTGACAAAATAAAGGTTTAATATATGTGTTCTAAAATATAAGATGAATAGATATTATAGCATTGCTTATAACAAAGTTTCCAGAGAATCTTCTGTTAAGAGGAACACATTTTTGTTGACATATGTATGTATATATGCCCTATTTTAGTTTTTTGGAGTAATATTGGACTTTTCATCAGGACCAAAGAAACTTCTCTTAATAAATACCCTCTAAATAAAACTGAATTCCATTTAATCTGTTGTTAAAAATATATGAAAGTTACAATATAATTTCCTTTTTGATTAATGTACAAACATATATGCCTGAACCAAGTCAGGAATATGACAGTTGTTCTCTATTTAATCCAATTAAGGTTTGATCAGTGATATGCAATTGTAATTGGTAAACCATAAGTGAAAGTGACCTAGCGTCTTTTGATTTGAGGTCCTCGGTTCACCAAAAAGAAAATGTCATGTTTTATGAACTTCCCCCTCTTTGAATTTACTTTGAAGACAGTGAGAACTTCAGTCTTTTTGTTAATACCTTTTTTAGCAGGTTAAAGTACTTTGAGGCTGCTTTTAGAAAAAGTCAAGATTCTAAGAGGTATAGTACTAGTAATTATTGTTTTACCTGTACTTGGTTTTTTTGTTATCTAGAAAACTGATATTTAAGAGCCAGGTGCTTTCTCTGTACTGATTGTTATTTTACTTATATTTACCTTAAGCTTTATTTTCAAAGATTTACAGACAGTCATTCCATTAACTAGTTTTAATTTTTTCTCAATTGTTAAATTTCACAAAAAAAGCATTGGCCATGTGTAGTTTTTATGAATGTGTACTTAACAAATTTAAATAAGCTCAAGTCTCATGATGAAATCATATTGTTTTCATTCATTTATTTGCCAACCTTAACATGCTTAACAATTTCTCATCAAACTTATATTTTAATAGTTTTTTAGCCGTATAACATTTATAAGCTGAATGAACTAACTATTCAACACTGTGATCTGACATGGGATTAGAATGTGCTCTTTGTCTGTAAAATTTTTTTTGTGGAAGACTGGATGTCATTTTTGATGTGTTATTTGAAAAAGTCAATCATGAAATAAGTTTTGAAATCCACACGTGTGTTTATGGTACTTTCTTGTTTATGTTTTCGGTTTTTAGTGGTAATGCTAAAATAAGCCTTCTATTCTCGATCATATCTTTATCAAAATCTAATGACTGTAGAAAATCAAAATAGATTACAATTATTTCGGAATATATTAAAAATATAAATATAAATTTTGTTGCGCACATTTTAATACAAAACTAAAAATACAAATCCAAAAGCTTATTGACTAATGGGAAACTATTTGTTCGGAATAAAGTAAGGTCGGAATATTGAACCTTAAATTATTCCTAACTGGCTAACATTAAGAGTTTCATTTCCGTTTTGTTGGCAACCAGCAGGATATGTTTTCCCCTTTGATCTCCCAGCAAATCATAGTTTTGAGAGTAAGCAATACAGTACCATTGTTCTCGTTCTTAACACAAAAAAGTTAACCGAAAAGTTATATTAAAAAAATTATGGTTTTCCGTATATGAAAAAGACAAGTCCTGTGTCACTGTCAGTGTGTGAAGTCACTTTTTACATTATTTTACCCTGGCAGATGTTGATCTAGTCCAAATATTAATGACGTCTTGAAAGCCTATTAAATTTTTTGCTGTGACGCCTTAGCCTTTCAAGACGTCATAATTTTTTTGACTAATGCTATCACTGGGGCAGATTCATTTGGGGCGTGCGCCCCCCCTCCCCTAGAATTTGCAAAGCATGGGTTGTCCTCAGCTTAATAGAAGAATATTTCGATAATTTTACCTCAAAAAAAATTTTGCCTATCTCCGCTCCACAAAAAATTTAAGTTTGCACCCCCCTAACCTAAACTCCTGGATCCGTATATATACCCATGCCCACATGTGGAGCAGGATCTGCTTACCCTTCCGGAGCACCTGAGATCACCCCCAGTTTTTGGTGGTGTTCGTGTTGCTTAGTCTGGTTTTCTATGTTGTGTCATCTGTACTATTATTTGTTTGTTTGTCTTTTTATTTTTGGCCATGGCGTTGTCAGTTTGTTTTCGATCTATGAGTTTGACTGTCCCTCTGGTATCTTTCGTCCCTCTTTTCTAGATGTTCCTCCCACAGGGGATCGATGAGTTTGTCCCTCTAAATTATTATGATTAATTGATTGTTGGTTGCATAAAGTCCAGTTCATGCATGTCCAGGACGAGAACAAATTAACAATTAATACAATAGGTACATGTAGGTACTGCAATTGAGGACGTCTGGGATTATGGTCAGGGAAATTTAGACTGCAACTGGAAAATGGGGATATAATGGATAGGGACAGAAATTTGGCCTTGCAACAAGCCACCTGCTGACCCCCCAAAGAGTTGTTGCAAGTGTTTTTTACTGCAGAGAGCATGTCCAGGCACTCTCTCTACACAAGGCATCAGATTTAATGTCCTCCTGACCGGACGTGGCTGCGTACTTGATACATCCTGCACAACCAAACGGACTCTCTACTTTGGCAAGTGTTTTACTGCTGGTCGGAAGAAGACCTGTAGTGACCATGGTGACCATATTTCTTTTCCCCAGTCACCCATGGGGGCAAATTATTATGAAGGATCTGTTTATCTGTGCTAATATTTAAGTACATCAAGTCTATTTTACATTAACATGGTTAACATAGCGTTTAGGGCATACGGTACAGTAGCAAGGCAGATAATAATGCATCCAAATACACATTGTTTTGCAATGTTGCAAATGAAAAGCTTACAAAAATCATTGATATCAACAAACAAACATTTAGTATACATGTATATATACATTTTAAAAGCATGCAGAATCTACTGGAGGGCAATACAATGTGCGGCAAATGAAGATTGTTTACTTTTCTAACTGACATTGATAAATTTGTTAATGACAGTTATTTGTATAGCCTTGTGATGTGTGTAGGCTGGTGAAAGAGCTTCACAAATATATTGCATTATTGTAGAATTCTCTGCAACACAGTTTAGCACCAAAAAAGGGGAATGGGATCTCAAGCATTTAAAGAAAAAGGTTTTTTATTTCTAGCTAAAAAATGTGCACATTGATCCCCATTTTTTTTTTAATTCAGCTATGTACTTATTCAAGTATGTTAGCCAAATAAAAATATATGTGTATTTCCAGTTACATCTTGAAAGAAATTAAGTTGGTGGTTAGGCATTTAAAAAAAAAAATTGGGATTGTCAAAATTTTGGGAAAAAATCGTGTTTTCACAGAGTCCAGTTGCAGCATTATACACAGCCCTACCAGAAGTTTGGCTGTAAAATAATCAAACATGTTATGTTTTAAGTTAAATTTGTTGCATCCTGTTAAGAATTTGTTACATTTTTAGACATGTGATAGTGGATATAAATATAATTATTGAAAATCACATTCCACAAAATGAGATCTCTCAAAATTTATTTTTAAGAGATGCAAAAAAGTTCTATGGTCAGGGGGTTTCAAACTAGGGTCGGTGGGACTATTAATATATTTTTATTTGGCATTATATGGAGATTGCAAGAAAAAGTCAATGATAGATTTTTTTTCTGTATGCACTTGTATATTATTATGAAATTGTCTATGGCTTTTATTATTGATATTTGTATACTGAAGGACGCCTCCGGGTGCAGGAGTTTCTCGCTGCATTGAAGACCCATTGGTGGCCTTCGGCTGTTGTCTGCTCTATGGTCGGATTGTTGTCTCTTTGACACATTCCCCATTTCCATTCTCAATTTTATTTCACCAAAATATGATCATATTAAACCTTCATAATATTGTCTTTATACAGAAAATTTGCCTTCTTTAACATTAATTAATCTATTTACATATAATACAGAAATACATATACATAGATATAAGAAGATGTGGTATGAGTGCCAATGAGACAACTCTCCATCCAAGTCAAAATTTATAAAAGTAAACCATTATAGGTCAAAGTACTACCTTCAACACGGATCCTTGCTCACACCGAACAGCAATCTATAAAGGGCCCCAAAAATGACTAGTGTAAAACCATTCAAACAGGAAAAACAACGTTCTAACGAGAAACAAGAAACATTTATGAACCACATCAACAAACGACAACTACTGAACATCAGATTCCTGACTTAGGACAGGTGCAAACATGTATAGTAAACTCGTTTCTTACACTACTGCAAGAAGTTTCATTCTGATTAATTCAGTGTCAAAGAATTGTTATAAAATTCGTTTTAGTGAACCATTCTATAGCAAAAATTGAATTCTAGCTAAACTGTTTGAGTTATCTCCCCTATACAGTCAGTTTTTAAAAATAAATTGTGTAAAAACTTTTTACTTTTAAAGCTTTCATTTTCACATGAGATCAAAGGATATCATATCAACATGAAAAATGTCTTGATTCATATAATTTAAATAAAAATCCATCCAAATGTATACATACAATGTACATGTATATTAAAATAAGTAGATGTGGTATGATTGCCAATGAGAAAATTTCCACCAGCCATTAAATGATGTAGATATAAGCTATTAGCATGATAAGTAACTATATACGTCACTGTATGACCTTCAAGTATGATAAAACCTATACAGTATTATAAGCTTTTAAAGACCCTGACATGACTAAATGGAAATCAATTTCAAATTAGAAAACCAACGGCCTGAATTATTTCAAAAACATTAAATGAAAAACAATTGATGTTAGACAGCAACAAACAACAAGCACTTAATTACAGTCTCCTGACTGGGGATAGACACATACAGGATGTGGAAGGGATAAAAATGCTTGTAAGGGCTAAACCCTATGACCTACAATGTAGAACAACATTGTACCATCACAGAATAAGAACACACTGTAAAATTCAGTAAAAAAGGGCTGGACTTGTCAGTGTGGCAGAAAGCACAAAAAAACTAACAAAAAGTCTAAAGACACAAATTTAGTTTATCTATCAAGAGTACCAGGTTTTTAGAGTTACTGAAAGCTTATTCCAAACCAACAACAACTGATGAATAAATCATGTTTTCCAGATTAAGAAACCAATCAGTGCACTGCACATCCAATTGATTTAGTGTATATACATGTACTTCATAAACAGTTGGTGAGAAACATGACCGCCAAAATATGAATATCTACAGGATATCGATTTCTTTATAATAATTTTAATAATTTAGTAAAACTCAACCAGGTTTTTGTTGTAAATGAAAACATAAATATTCTTTATCTTCTCTTTTATTTATTTTCAGACTTGGAAAGATGTAAAATATCAACCGTAGGGTAAAGTGCCGTTAAAAGTGTAACCATGACTATGTTGGCATTCACCTCGTTCTCATTCTTATCATTGTGTGGGGTCTGCACTGTGTTACAGATTTTGGCCCATAGAGCAAGGAAAGATGAATCTGTGGGAAACAACCCTCAGTTCCTTAAGTTCCAGAGAACCTACTTTGCTGCCTATTTGTTGGCCATGTTTGCTGACTGGTTACAAGGTCCTTATTTATACAAATTGTATTCATATTATGGGTTCCAGGAACCTCAAATTGCTGTTCTGTATGTTTTTGGATTTGCTGCGTCTGTGATTTTCGGTACATGGACTCATATAGCAGCGGATAATTTTGGTCGCAAGAAATTGTGTTTATTTTTCACAGTCATCTACTCATTGTCCTGTTTCCTGAAACTTTCTCGAAGTTATGGTGTTTTGATAATTGGACGAATTCTGGGAGGATTGGCGACATCTGTCCTTTTCAGTGCGTTTGAAGCCTGGTATGTGCATGAACATTTAGAAACACACGACTTTCCTAAGGAATGGATTTCTGTTACTTTTGCAAAAGCCTCATTTTGGAATGGAATAATGGCTGTTATTGCGGGCATTACAACAAATGTTGTATCAGAGTGGTTTGGACTGGGACCAGTTGCACCTTACATGTTGGCTGTTCCATTTCTGATTTTTGCCGGTATTATTGTGTTCACTCACTGGAATGAGAATAGTGCTGTCACCAAAGTTAAATTCAGAAAACAATGTGGAGAAGGTTTCAGAAAAATTGTTACGGTCGAGGAAATTTTCATGATTGGAGCTGTGGAATCGCTGTATGAAAGTGTTATTTACATAACAATTTTCTTATGGACTCCTATTTTAGAGCCGGGGAAGCCGTCATTGGGTCTTGTGTTTTCAAGCTTTATGATAAGTATCTTGATAGGCCAAGCTTTTTTTCAAATCACAATAGCCAAAAAGAAATTGTCGGTATCAATTTTATTATTAGCGTCGATATTCATAGCTTTCATCGCCAATTTAATTTTAGTGATATCGACAAATCCTAAACATCAGATGTATGATTTATCCTATGCTGCTTTGATTCTTTTCCAGGTCGGAGTTGGATTGTATTTCCCGTCCATGGGATTTCTCCGAAGTCATATCATTCCAGATACTCATAGATGGAGCATAATAAACTGGTTCCGTGTTCCGATCAATATCATTGCTTGCATCGTTTTGATGTTGCTTCACGAAGATGTTTTCCAACATGGAAACCGAATGATCTTCGTCATCTGTGTTATTTTACTGTTTTTAGCTATTTTAAGTGGGTTTAGGTTGCATACATTGTCTAAAAATCATGATGGCTTACAACAGGAAGCTGCTTGGCTTGAAACAGATCATATTGTAAACATATTTTGAAGTCAATTTTACTTCAAAGGTGCTGTGTCAAACAACAAATATTTCCTGGTCTGGCCTCAAGAACAAAAACTTACAAATGGGAAATATGAAATAAAAAATAATTTTGAAGGAATAGGCCATGGGTCTTTGAAGTCTTTCTTTTTCTATTTTTTTTTTATTTACTGTTTTTTTTTATCTAGAAATACAAAAATGAAGGCAGTATGATATGTCTGACTCATGTATGTAAAAAATGAGGTGTTTGGTTCTATAGGTCAATGAGACAGCAACCCAATGACTCAAGAAACCAAAAGACATCTAAAGGTCAACATACCCTTTCCAAAACTAGATTGATATCTTTACAATATGTCAAGCTCTATATCCCTGGAGATTGATATCTTTACATTATGTCAAGCTCTATATCCCTGGAGATTGATATCTTTACATTATGTCAAGCTCTATATCCCTGGAGTCTGATATCTTTACAATATGTCGAGCTCTATATCCCTGGGGTCTGATATCTTTACAATATGTCAAACTCTATATCCCTGGAGTCTGATATCTTTACAATATGTTTGAGCTCTATATCCCTGGAGTCTGATATCTTTTCAATATGTCAAGCTCTATATCCCTGGAGCCTGATATCTTTTCAATATGTCAAGCTCTATATCGATGGAGTCTGAAAATAGCTTGAGCAAGAAATGAAAAGGTCAAGAGTCAAGGTTCCCAAAAAATAAATTGAGATAAGCAAGAAAAAAAAAGTTTCTGACAAAATAGAAGAAACATCACAACAAAACTTCTGACATACACCTCTTAACCAAAATTATGTAAGAAGAGGCTGGGAGAGAAGACTTTTTCAAAGATAAATAATTTGTCATGGTAATTAAGTGCTATTGATTTACATGAACATGTATGTAATGAAAGTTAGTTATATATATGTGATTATATGTCTAATAAATTATGTATTTCAACTTGAGTTTTAGATATTTAATAAAATGGTTATTTCCCTTATACCAGTGTTCTCCCCAGGAAATTTTAGCATCATCCCTACTGTGGCTTCAATATAACAAAATACATTACACTTTTCTTAATTAAAAGTGTGGAAATTTATTCCTGATAGCCAACATATGGTATTATTACATATTCTGCAAAACTGAACTGTATAGAAATAAGATGTGGATGTTGTAGTGTATAAAAAAGAAGATGTGGTTTGATTGCCAATGAGACAAATATCCACCAAAGACCAAATGATGTGGATGTCAGTCACTGTTACAGTATAAAAATAAGAAGATGTGGTATGATTGCCAATGAGGAAACTATCCACCAAAGACCAAATGATGTGGCTGTCACGGTATAATAATAAGAAGATGTGGTATGATTGCCAATGAGACAACTTCTTATTGGAGCTACTGCCCTTAAATGACGAATTTAACCCATTTTTTGTTGTGATTTTGGCTATTATTTTTGCAACTATGATTATATTCATAAAGGAAAACTGCAATGGTAAATGATCAGCAAGATAAAATCTAAAAATTGATCAACATGGCCGAAATAGGCGGACTCCTTATAGGAGTTATTGATATTGAACATGTTGAAAGACTATTGTCTATCAAATTTTGTGTTTTTGGTAAAACTCAGATCCGACACTCTTTTTTGGAAAGAATTGTATATCTTCTATTCGCCTGTATGAATTTCTTCTACAGGTGTATAGAATATATACAATTCTTTCCAAAAATAAGCATATATACCTGTTGGTTACTTGACATGCTTGGGCTGATAGATCAATGTCTAAGCATGAAAATTATATGCACATTATAAACCAATGTAGATTTTAAATCTATGGTAAAAGATGCATAGGCTCCCATGGTGGAACTTTAAATCCTCCATTAATGTTTTGAAAAGTTAGTACAGGGGCGGATTCAGGTGGGGGGTGACGGGCGTGTGCCCCCCCCCCCCCCCCCCTAAAATTTGCAAAGCATGGGTTGTCCTCAGCATAATAAAGAATATCTCGATAATTTTACCTCAAAAATATTTTCGCCTCGCTCCGCTCGCCGAAAAGTTAAGTTTGCACCCCCCCCCCTTACCTAAAATCCTGGATCCGCCCCTGTAGTAGGTATGCCATTGAATTTGATGAGACAGGTTTTGGGTGAATATAGGAAACGATTTATATAAGGTTCATTGTATTCCTAGAACTTAGCCATATTGAATTTGTGAGATAGCCAATTCTTTCTATTTCGTATTTTATAACTTAGATTTTTAGGATGTAGATTAGTTTTATTAGTTTTATTGCTCTATTCTTTCAAGTTTCAGGTTTCCATTGATATTTTGTTTTGTGGATGTCCTAAACATATATCCTCATATCCAATTCATTTCCCAACAGTATATTATATTTAAATTGAATGTTTGTTTATTATATTACATTCAATAGCAAATTCCAAACAATGACTCCTTTATTTATGATTAGTGGAACAGGAAAGGCTGACCGTTTCAGAGCACCTTATTTCATCCCCAGTTTTTGGTGAGGTCCGTTTGGTTCATGCTTTAGTGTTTTATGTAGTGTTCTGTAGACTGTTGTTTGGTTTTTCCCGTCTATTGCAATCATTTTGTCGGTCTGTCTTAGACTTAGGAGTATTGAATCCCCTTTAGGCATCTTTCCCCTACTTTTAGATAAAATTCAGACATTCAATAGTTATACAGTTTTTTTCAGTTTATCTATTCTAGCTACTTACTAGTACACTTGGTACAATCAAAAACCTGATAATAAAATTTTCTGATAAACCTGCTGCATTTGTTTGCACCTGTCCTAAGTCAGGAACCTGATGTTCAGTGGTTGTCGTTTGTTGATGCGGTTCATAAATGTTTCTTGTTTCTCGTTTTTTATATAGATTATACCGTTGGTTTTCCTGTTTGAATGGTTTTCACTAGTCATTTTTGGGGCCCTTTATAGATTGCTGTTCGGTGTGCCGGAGCAAGGATCCGTGTTGAAGGTAGTACTTTGACCTATAATGGTTTACTTTTACAAATTGTGACTTGGATGGAGAGTTGTCTCATTGGCACTCATACCACATCTTCTTGCATCTATTTACGAGAATAGTGGAATTAATGACTTTTGGAGTGTCATAAATGCATCGTTGGAAGTACATGTACATGTACTTAAAAATATTGGTGCTTTCCAATCTTTTTGAAGTTTTGATTTTTCTACCACTTTGACTCATAATCTCTCAAACATGTTTAAGGCTGCCACATTCTTTATGTGCCTGTCCCAAGTCAGGAGCCTGTAGTTCAGTGGTTGTCGTTGGTTCATGTCTGTCATATGTGATTTTCGTAAATTGTTTTGTTGTAAATTAGGCCGTTAGTTTTCTCAGTGAATTGTTTTATATTTTTCATGTCAGGGCCTTTTATAGCCGACTATACGGTATGGGTTTTTCTCACTGTTGAAGGCCGAACGGTTGCCTATAATTGCTTACATCCACTTCATTTGAACTTGTGGATAGTTGTCTCATTGGTAATCATACCACATCTCCTTTTTATGTATATGCTCAAAGTCTTTAAGGTCATTTTTAGTAACTATGTCAATTGGACCTGCTTCGATATGATAACTGCACTTGAATTTTTTTCTAGATTACAAATTTTGATCGCTATGGTGAATCCGTAAATCGCCAAGATATTGGAATTCCAATGAGGACTAAATGTGCACCACTTTTTGCGGACCTGTTTCTGTATTGTTATACGAATCATATTCTATGTCTAAAAATACCAAAGACCCATCCAAACATCATCTGATACAAAAATTTAATAACACTTTTAGATATTTGGATGATATTTTGGCTCTCAATAATAATGACTTCAGTATGTACACTAAAGAGATTTGTCCAGTTGAACCTACTTTAAATAAAGCTATATAATGTTAACAATGATCACTGCCCTTTCCTGTATCGTGATATCTTTTTTTTCTAACGGGAAGCTTAATGCTAAAATTTACGATAAAAGAGATGATTGTTCATTTCCTATTGTTAATTATCCCTTTTTTGGTGACGTTCCCTTGGCACCATCTTATGGTATTTATGCATCTCAACTTGTTCGATTCGTATGTAACAGTGTATTTAACTTTAAGGGAGCTACCATTTGATTTTTATGGGGGGGGGGGGGGGGGGGGGGGGTCGGGGGCTAGGATGAAAAATTTTGTCCTGCATTGTTTTTTTAGTTGTAATCTCTGTCCTGTCTTTTTATTTTTCACTCTACTCGGTCCTGCATTTTTTTATTAGTTTATCCTGACTTTATTTTACATAAATTGTCATCCTGCCTGTTTTTTATTTTTGCCAAGTTGCTCATCCTGCCTATTTTTTTTACTCAAAACTCCTGTCCTGCCTTTTTTCAATTTTCATCCTAGTCTTTTATCATCGGTACAAGGACGTCATTTGTAAATATAAATCAGCGTACTGATATCGGATACGTCGAGGTATTTCACATCTCATCTTTTATGGTAATATGGTAATATTCTATACAAAGCACAACAATGTCGTCATTCGCCTAAAAAGTTAACCAAACCTTTAAACAGACTTATTCACAAGGGATATATCGATACTGTTGTCAAGTCATTAAAAATGGCATGCTTTGGAAATTAATAGTGATCCACTCATAGGGTCTTTGCATCGGAAATAAACACCTGTATTCTAAAACAAGTTGTTGGAATGATACGGGTTATGTTCTTCTCGTTTTATTATACCCCACGCAACGAGTTGCGGAGGGTATAATGTTTTTGACCCGTCCGTCCGTCTGTCTATCCGTCCGTCCGTCAGTCCGTCAGTCCTGTTTCTTGTCATCGCAACTCCTCTCAAACCACACAACAGAATTTCACGAAACCTTTTTAGATAATAAGGACATACTATGTAGTTGTGCATATCGACAGGAAATTACGATTCAATTTTTTTCTAGGAGTTACGCCCCTTTGAACTTATTTACTTTAATGTACTACTGCAACAGTTTGTCATCTCAACTCCTCTGAAACCACACAACAAAATTTCATGAAACTTTGTAGATATTTATTTATGACTTATAAATAATAAGGACATACTACGTAGATGTGCATATAGACAGGAAATTACGATTCAATTTTTTTTCCAGGAGTTACGCCCCTTTGAACTTATTTGCCCAATATACTACTGCAACCTTTTGTCATCGCAACTCCTCTCAAACCACACAATAGAATTTCATGAAACCTTTTCAGATAATAAGGACATACTACGTAGATGTGCATATCGACAGGAAATTACGATTCAATTTTTTTCTAGGAGTTACGCCCCTTTGAACTTATTTGCTTCAATATACCTCTGCAACAGTTTGTCATCGCAACTCCTCTGAAACCACACAACAGAATTTCATGAAACTTTGTAGATAATAAGGACATACTATGTAGATGTGCATATCGACAGGAAATTATGATTCAATTTTTTTTCTAGGAGTTACGCCCCTTTGAACTTATTTACTTTAATGTACTACTGCAAGTTTGTCATCTCAACTCCTCTGAAACCACACAACAAAATTTCATGAAACTTTGTAGATAATAAGGACATACTACGTAGATGTGCATATCGACAGGAAATTATGATTCAATTTTTTTTTCTTATACAATTTTTATACGCCCGTCAAATTTTTGACGGGACGTATTATGGTTTACAAATGTCCGGCGTCCGTCCGTCTGTCTGTCCGTCTGTCTGTCCGGCGTAAACATGTCGCACCGTAACTTGAGAATGACTTATCCAAATTTCATGAAACTTAACATAGTTGTTTCTTATGATGGTCAAACGATCTGTATACTTTTTGGTGAAAATAAGATTAAAACTTTTTGAGTTACGGGACTTAGTAACTAAAACAGGTGTGTGTTTTTTTTCACATGTCGCGCCGTATCTCAAAAACAATTTATGATTATTGCTTAAAACTTTACACACTTCTTAGTTATATTAATCTTAAGATCTGTATACTTTTTGGTGATGATTCAAAATTTTACTTTAGAGATATTGAGTATTTTGTTAAAAAAGGGGGAGGGGTTTTTCACATGTCGCGCCGTATCTCAAAAACAGTTTATGATTATTGCTTAAAACTTTACACACTTCTTAGTTATATTAACCTTAAGATCTGTATACTTTTTGGTGATGATTCAAAATTTTATTTTTGAGTTATTGAGTATTTTGTAAAAAAAGGGGAGGGGTTTTTCACATGTCGCACCGTATCTCAAAAAACGATTTATGATTATTGCTTAAAATTTTACACACTTCTTAGTTATATTAATCTAAAGATCTGTATACTTTTTGGTTTTGATTAAAAATTTTATTTTTGAGATATTGATTTTTTTTTTTAAAGAGGGTTTTCACATGTCGCGCCGTATCTCAAAAACGATCTATGATTATTGCTTAAAATTTTACACACTTCTTAGTTATATTAATCTTAAGATCTGTATACTTTTTGGTGATGATTCAAAATTTTACTTTAGAGATATTGAGTATTTTGTTAAAAAAGGGGGAGGGGTTTTTCACATGTCGCGCCGTATCTCAAAAACAGTTTATGATTATTGCTTAAAACTTTACACACTTCTTAGTTATATTAACCTTAAGATCTGTATACTTTTTGGTGATGATTCAAAATTTTATTTTTGAGTTATTGAGTATTTTGTAAAAAAAGGGGAGGGGTTTTTCACATGTCGCACCGTATCTCAAAAAACGATTTATGATTATTGCTTAAAATTTTACACACTTCTTAGTTATATTAATCTAAAGATCTGTATACTTTTTGGTTTTGATTAAAAATTTTATTTTTGAGATATTGATTTTTTTTTTTAAAGAGGGTTTTCACATGTCGCGCCGTATCTCAAAAACGATCTATGATTATTGCTTAAAATTTTACACACTTCTTAGTTATATTAATCTAAAGATCTGTATACTTTTTGGTTTTGATTCAAAATTTTATTTTAGAGATATTGAGTTTTTTGTAAAAAAAAAGGGGGGGTTTTCGCATGTCACGCCGTATGTCAGAAACTATTTATTCTTATTGCATAAAAATTCACACACAAGACGACGGGCGTATCATGCGCTCATGGCGCAGCTGTTTATTTTTTCTTACAGTCATTTTATTTCTCCAGTGACAATGTGGGGACGTGGGGTATGTGAGCGCGCTCACTAAGGTTTCTTAATTTATATTGGCATGATACTAATTATTGCATTGTAAGCGCTCTCACAGATTTTTGTCAAATTTATATTAAAGATTTATATCACCAAAGTCTAAGACAAATTCTAAAATAAGTGTCGATCAAGTAAAAAGAGTGATGCCCCTTGTAAATATTAATTATATTGAAAATTGCATTGTGAGCTTTTTCGAGTCTTCATTTCTGTAAGATATTTATAAAAAGTTTTGAAGAACCAAAAACAATTTGTTTTTAAGTTATTGTCCTAGACAGATACAATATGTGCAACGCGGGGGACATTGACACTCGGCTATTTTATTTGTATAAAAATATATGAAAGGGTATGTATCTTTGCTAATCAAAACTAAATGAAAAGGTTAAGTACTCAATGTTTAGGTTGTTAAACCCCTACCACAAAAAGGTCGAAGTGGCACCCGAGAATATGGTGACAAAAAAACTGTTATAATACGTAAACACTCAATTCTTGGACTGAAAAAAGATACAGTATTAACATATAATAAATATCATTACACATAAACATGTATTGAACACAACTTGAACAAATAATTTTCATATCAAGAAAACAAAATCAGGTTGCTGTAGTGACAAAACGAAGTCGATGACTCCCTTATCATCTATCCACAGGTAACAGGGGCATGAACCCCCTTTTTGGGCCCCAATGTAAAGAAAAATCTATTCTAGATGCATGAGACTTGTTATATCTTTTTTTTTACAAATTATTATATGTATAAACATTTTAGAAAATTGTTAATATGAAGAAGAAATGGATTCTTTTTTTACATTTGGGTTCAAAAAACGGGGTCCATGGTCCAAATACCTGTAATATTCATCATATTTTGTTCAGAAAGTCACGAAATACCTTGACACAAAATTTTTAAAAAAATCACCAGTATATCATAATAGGCTATTTGGTTTTAAAAACTTCTTTTACTGAACAACGTAATATATACAAAATGAACGTAAAATTTTCTATGTGGAACGTATTTCATAAGAATGATATATCAGGACTGATAATAAACTTAGTATTACGTTTATTATCCAAGATACATATTTAAATGGTCTTTTTACAGTTTTTGGGTTTTTAATGCTCTCAGTTCTACGTCATTGAATTGATCTCCCTATTGTTTTGACTCGAATGCCAATGGTGAGTCAAATGATGTCCAAAACGATTTTGTAGTATTTGTTTTTCACTGGTATATGTATTTGCATGTAACGTTTCATTCCAGGAGCCTAAGCTTTCACGTCAGATGGCCAAGGTGTCAAAGACGAGAACATCTTTTCCCCGAATTTATAATTTTTAAACCAAAGTTGAAACCATTGATTGAAATATGCAATGTTTTGTTTATTTTGCACTAGAATGCAGATAACCGTATTGTATTTCAAGCTTGGCACGTAAACATTTTGTTACATATATTATTTCTCGGTTGAAAAAGTTGCATAAGCCAAGGATTTGTATAGTATACTATACTAATCCTTGCATAAGCGATTTTTTTTTTAATTTACTACCCAATTATTCGTAAAATGTAGCTAAATTTTGGTACAGTAAAACAAGTATTGTCATCATATGAGGTGAATATTCCAATTGTTATCCTTTGAAGGGTTGTCTACCAGAGGGCTTTACAATTGGGATGTTCACCTCATATCAAGGCAATAATTGTACTTTATTGCATGCTAATCAGTCCCTGAACAATAATTTTCAAAAGTACAGTGGCTGGCCCGAGATAGTTTGGACAATATCTTGTGTTTTCCCATTTTTTTCAGAAATTTATTGGATTTAAAGTTGTGCATTGCCAGAGACATCTCTATCATGGCAGTAGAAGAATTAATTATTTAAGTCCTGATCAGATACATTTACATCTAGAGGGCGTTAGCTCGAATGGGTGTATCTTATTTACACCAAGATATTATTGTCAATGCAGAATGATAGTTTTCAATAATTTAGGAGGGGGTCTTTCAGCGATTCGACCAATGTGTTATTGAAAGGCATGATCCATTTAACGACATCTTGGTGTAAATACGTATATATATATATATATGCCGGAGATACGTTAACATATATTAAATCTCATTCGTATATGATAAACATATAAATAATTAAAGACAGGAAAAGAAAACTTAATTATGGGCGCTTTCAAATTTTGCCGCATTATTAAGAACACCATCTGGAAATATATTTTCATCGCGATAAGTACTGTATTGACTGCGCCATCTGTTTTGTCGGCAAACAGTGTTCTAACGAGCAGTTAAACATCCTGCATTCCCAGACAATGAATTAGATCGCAAATTAATTATTATTAAAAGTCCAATAATATGAAAACTAGATAAATTGAAAAAGGTGATGCACAACAATTAATTAGACCCGTTTTATGCAAATTAAAAGAATGTCTTACATATTATTGATTTTGTGTAATTTTATCGAGTGTATTGCATACAGTTAGTCAGCATCACTTGGCCCTTATCATGCACATTCACAGCTGAATCAAGCATTGCATGAGTCGGATGTTTTGAAACATTGCATGTCCTACAGCAAATATCCATCTAGATTGGAAGGAAGATTTGACTTCAACCACTTATCAACAGCTTTAGTGAGTCAGGTTAGTTTTGTTTGGTTCTCTATTTCTGGTCACTTGTCCCAGACAATAGCCACTGACAATAGTCAATGACATATCTCTGGCACCAGTACAAATATTTCCAAACATTGTTACTCATATCTTCGATCTTAATTATATGCATTACGCTCACGGTATCCCAGCCCCCGAATCCTGACCCCACTAGCTTTACCTGTACCGTGCAGTCGAAATGGTAAATATAGTTGCAATATCTTTTCATAAAAACAAAAATCACCATAGCTACGACAATTTGAAACGGCATAGTCCTGATAGTGGGCTAGTTATGTTTTACAAAATAAAAATGACATTGATAAATATTAGAAAGTTGTTAACGACCAAGCTGTCCAAACAGTATAAACGGTCAATAGTACTAACAAAGTTATTAATGAACTTTAACCAGCGTAATACCTTAGCTGTGAGGAGGTGGACAGCTTTTGGGGGAGGTGGGAGGTGGGGGGCGGAAGATTGGAGACAAAAAATAGGCGGGAGGGAAAAAAAAGATTCTAAAAGTGGGAGGTGGGAGATAAGGGGCGGGAGGTGGGAGAAGGGTACCCCCTGTTCACCCCCTCAGCTGTAATATAGATAATTATCTACAAAGAAGCACCATTCGCCCGTTTCATGTGTTTTGATTTTATGTATTGTTGGGTTTCTGTGTTTATGTGTACATCACAACCCTTGTATTGATATAATTAAGTTTACTTTATTCAGGTGATATTATTTTTCAACGGAAACGAAATTCACTATAGTTACTACAATTTATTGTGGCAGTAACTACAATTTGAAGTGGCATATTAGGCTAGTTATATTAAAAAAGTTTCGAATGTAAAATTGAAAAGCCCTTGAGATTTTAGTATACACATTTTGTTTACCTTTTCTTTTCTTCTATCATGTCTATAGAACTCTTTCTCTTCCTTCAACCTATGGCAGTTTCAGGGGCACCGTCGTCACGTCACCGCCTAAATCCACCCCTGTTACTATCATTATACGTGTATTTCCTCATATAATGAGTAGGTTGATATGTTCATCTGACTATCATTTAAATTGGAACGAACTTAGTATACATACATTTCTTCATGACAAACAACAAAGTTACTAATTGAATACTAATTTTCAGTTTTAAAATCTCACAACCTCGTGACTATAACATAGAGAAAGATCTGGGTTAGACATGGATCAAACCCAATGCACGGCTAAGGACAGGGAAAAGAGGAAACAGTGTATTGCGGCCTAATGCCAGTAGGGGATGAAAAGGATAAGTCACTTGGTGACAAAACAATAAAACATACAGATCAAAAATACTAAGAAGGGACATGCATGTGTCAACCAATATCTCAAAAGTCAAATAACAGTTTCCTAATCCTTTATAATACGGTTGTAATAGCTGAGATCGGGAGAATAACATATCTTATATTGATCTGTAGTAATAGCTGAGATCGGGAGAATAACATATCTTATATTGACCTGTAGTAATAGCTGAGATCGGCAGAATAACATATCTTATATTGGTCTGTAGTAATAGCTGAGATCGGGAGAATAACATATGTTATATTGATCTGTAGTAATAGCTGAGATCGGGAGAATAACATATCTTATATTGACCTATAGTATAATAGCTGAGATCGGGAGAATAACATATGTTATATTGATCTGTAGTAATAGCTGAGATCGGGAGAATAACATATCTTATATTAACCTGTAGTAATAGCTGAGATCGGCAGAATAACATATCTTATATTGATCTGTAGTAATAGCTGAGATCGGGGGAATAACATATCTTATATTAACCTGTAGTAATAGCTGAGATCGTGAGAATAACATATGTTATATTGATCTGTAGTAATAGCTGAGATCGGCAGAATAACATATCTTATATTGACATGTAGTAATAGCTGAGATCGGCAGAATAACATATCTTATATTAACCTGTAGTAATAGCTGAGATCGGGAGAATAACATATGTTATATTGATCTGTAGTAATAGCTGAGATCGGCAGAATAACATATCTTATATTGACCTGTAGTAATAGCTGAGATCGGGAGAATAACATATGTTATATTGACCTGTAGTAATTATCAATTATGGACTTTTGGCGAGGTCAATACGTTATATATGGACCTGTTCAGACTATACTGACCGAGGACGAAGTCCGAGTGTCAATATAATATAACAGGTCCATATATAACGTATTGACTGAGTGAAAGTCCTTAATTTTTATATTACATATGTAAATAATGTAATTAGGAAAATGGACTTTGTACAATGTTCTTTCTGTGTATTTTTAAATTGTTTTTTTTGCAAGATTTTAACATGCCATTGAAAATATCAATAAATAAGATGAACTTTTTTTTACTGTAAACAAAAACACAACATATCTTTTTTTCTGTTTAAAACAAATAAGAATTCAAATTATATAATTTTCGTCTGCTGCGGCGCTTCTCCCTTGATTGTTATGTTTGATGTCATGACGTAGAGTAATTTCGGACCGGAACGGCTTATATCCGGATCTAATTTTAGCAAGATTTTTAATATTGACCGTCAATATTGAACAGATATATCATGTTAAGGAGGGGTATTTGCGAAAAATACCAGTCGAGAGAATGTTAAATTTCGCGAGCCGTAAGGCGAGAGAAATTCATTCTCAAGACTGGTATTTTTCGCAAATACCCCTCAAGAACAATGATGCTATATCTGTTTAATTACACCGAATGTTAGCGTTCAAAAACGCATTGATGATCGTGACGTTACAAGCGTCCAGTCGGATAGAGTATGTTTTGGCAAATACCACGGCAGAGAGGGTAAAAAAGGCATATACTTTTTGCATATACCCCGGCGGGGTTAAAAAATGAACGATATTCATTTGAAAACAGTAAATTGGTGAAAAATACACTGGCTATCAACCAATCAAAACCCAGGATTCTTACATAAGGTGTAATTAACATATAAATAGAAACATAGCGTCAATATACTTAAAAATAGAAACAAGGCTTCAGATACACGAAATAACCTTTCAAACACGTGAGCGTAATAACCAATGAAAGAATGCTACACCATATGTAATATTAGCTGAGATAGGGAGAATAACATATCTTATATTGACCTGTAATAATAGCTGAGATCGGGAGAATAACATAATTTTATCTTATATTGACCTGTAGTAATAACTGAGATCGGGAGAAAAATACATCTTATATAAACCTGTAGTAAATTATTAACACATGTTAGTTTTATGCTATTTGTTTATGCGTATACGATTTTTTGTCACAAAGCGTCAAAGTTCCTCTGCTATTGTTTTTTTTTCATGTGTGTGTCGCGAATTGATATACCATATCCTTTCGTTTCCGTTCATTTAATTGGAAATATAGCCCTATTTAGTTTAATAAAGTCTAAATGTTTGTAAAGACATACATTTTCTTAATATGATTTTTTTCCTCCGCTATAGTAAGACCTACACTGCATGAGGGGTCATACATTTTGCTGAGCGGGGTGGATAGATACCCAGCCACGTACAGTCGAAATGGGACATTCATTCCCGACCCATTGAGAATCACTCCTCTTTACATGTTCACGGACCATTTGTAACATCTGATTTCTGTAAAATGTGATTTTTTTCAGATTTCTATATCCATGCAGCATAGATGTGTATTGATAATCATGATATAATAAAGTTTTGACAGATTCTTCTATAAATAGTTAAAAAATTTGATATAAAAACTTATTTGATTTTTTTATGTATCTTGTTCTATTCAAAATATATTTAATGTTTTTGTTTCATATATTTAGAAAATATATTTATCGTCAGTCAGAACTTTCGCACTGTGGTAAAACAAAACGGGTTCTCAATCTTATACAAGAAATACTTTTTTGTTTCAATTGAATTTGAAATCACGTTCTCGCCTTTGTTTTGACGTTTATCAGTGGGATGAGAGGGGACGAGACGTCATTCTTTCCACAAAACACTTATCGAATCAATCGTAAAATTCAGGGAGAGTAAAGCTATGTTGTTACTTTCAAAGTTGCCATCAAAAACTTGTTCAAATAACGTCGAACGTTGTCACGTTCTAAGTTTTCTTGTGATTAATAAAAGAAAGTTGGGAATTCAAGGTTTCAAAAATAACTTCTTCATTGTAGTAGTAAGATGGTTCAGTAAACTCCTTACAAAAAGACTACAAAGATGTCTCAACATATTTTGTGTATTAAAATTTTGAAGAGGCCAATTAGAAAATCTGACATATTGTTTTCTTTCAGGCAGATTAAAATTACACTTTACTATCATCAACAACCCTAAAAGCTTATTCCTATCCATTTCTTTTAGTTTTACTGAGAGTCATTCTGCTCATTCAGTTCTGTTCTCACCGTTTAAACATGCGTGTGCTTTTGTTTTGTAAACAAATTTTCAGCAGTCTGTTTCGCTAATTCCTTCAAAGTTTAAAAAAAGGACGCGATTATATTACTTGAAAATCCGTTATTTTGTTTATCAAAGTTTTCTATAACGGGTTGTACGCACTTGCTATCACGTTCTCACGGTTACATTTTGACGTTCTCCAATCTAGAGTTATGTGAGTAGACAGGGAAGATTGCTTATTCTTGATTGAGAGTAAAACTTTGCTTAAAATTGATTGATCGTTGCTTGTTAAACATCCAGTGTCAACTATTTCATGCATATTTAGGACGAACATTGCAGGAACCAGGAAGTTCACCATACGGTCAGCGACGGTCACGTGAACACACCATATGGTATTATAATCTCTTATAAATCACATGGTATTATCTATCGTGGACCGTCCGATTCTTGACAACTAAATCGATTTATTTCAAAGATTATAGTTATGGTATCAGCGCCAGAATATAAATATACCACATTAAAAATGTAATAAACTACCCCACACTTTTATTAAAAACATAAGCAATCAAAAAATAAATAATCATATCTATACAGAGTTTGAAAAAAGGAATTTTCTATGTTAGGTTGCTGTTTTATTGACGTATTCCCCATATCTCCCTTTTATCATGTTGTTAATTGTATATCCAAACTTTAGAACAGTCCGCAATCTTATTATTTCCACACAGTCCAAAAGACACTACTGCAGAACAATGACAGTTGACTCTTTAAACTTTCAATAACTTTCAATTCAAGTTCAATTCAGACTTTTATTGTCATATAAACCAACTTATGATTTGTGATCAAAATGTCGCAAATCATTAACAACAACATTTACATGATATGCCTTGGAGTTTAGTGTGACGTCCATTTTCACTGAACTAGTACACATTTTTGTTTAGGGGCCAGCGAAAGCCCGCCTCTGGGTGCTGGATTTTCTCGCTGTGTTGAAGACCCATAGATGGCCTTCAGCTGTTTTCTGCTCTTTGGTCGGGTTGTTGTCTCTGACACATTCTCCATTTCGATTCTCAATTTTATCTTACGATAAAAATGAAATATTTATGACTTGCGTTATAATTATAAGGAGATGAGGTATGGTTGCAAATGAGACAACTATCCACAAGAGTTCAAATCACGAAGATTAAAGCGATTATAGGTCACCGTACGTCCTTCAACTATGAGAAAATACCGTATAGTCAAATATAAAAGGCCCCGGCATGAAAGATGTGAACCAATTCAAACGAGAACACCAACGGCCTAATTTATACAATACAATTTACGAAAAACAAATATGATAGACATGAACCAACGACAACGACTGATTTACAGGCTCCTGACTTGGTGGGTGGGCGCTAAACCCTCCCGGCCTTACACCTGGGACAATGGTGTTACAGCACAATATAAGAACAAACTGCAAACGTCAGTATTTTTTCTCGTAACCTTTCATAGAGTTTTATGAATTTTTATTTCACAGTTAAAATGTTTTTTTTTAAACATTAATGAATTTGTCAAACCTAGTTTAATGGAATATTTCAAACCTAGACAGAATAGGGGTTCCCCCGTGATCGAGAAAACAGATTTTTAGACCAACATGGCTGTAAAATATGTCAGACTGATTGATTGTTGCATATTTTACCGCCATGTTGGTCGACATATTTTACCGCCGTGTTGGTCTAGTATCGCTTCGTGTTTGGGTGACCCATGGCTGAGTCAGACCAATGAATGTAAATTCGCTATTAGCTGCTTTAAACAGAACATATGGCATAACAACACGACAAAAGAATTCGGAACAACTGGTCTGCTGAAAGCTCAGAGTCAAAATAATGTGACCGGGTAGTCTGACATATCTTTCTAAGTAGATATAAGAAGATGTGGTATGAGTGCCAATGAGACAACTCTCCATCCAAGTCAAAATTTATAAAAGTAAACCATTAAGGACTGCTATCTTGATAACTATAGTACTTTTAAAATCCGCTTCAATCAGTCTAATATACGATCATATCACACTAACATGTTCTATATACATTTTGTATATGTATATATATATATATGTATGTAGTTCTGAATATGCATGTATATTAATAATGTTAAACAACAATCCATCCATCCATCCATATATGAAATATATCATGGTAAAATTGGAATGACACTATGTCAATGGTAGAAACTTTGTTTGAAAGTCGTAGGCCCTTATAAGGCCTCAACAACTGCTTTTGAGAAAATAAGCCATGATTTTTACGATTTTACTGATGTTATTAAATACATTAAACATTATATGGACCATGAATCAACTATTTAATCAGCTAATGGATTGGACTGGTCTTAAAATCGCAAATCTTTCATTGCTAATTATAACGGTGATCACCATGTTGGCATTACTTTCAGATTCACCAAGAAAAATGCCACGAGAAAGAAAAATACCCTCCCCAGAGCCGGACTTTGATTTCTTTGCGCCGCACCCACACCCGACAAAAGTCAGGGTAATAAATTCAATGTTTGGCAGTGTTCCCGATGCTTTTGATGGAAAAACTTTGGAACTAGGTAAAGAATCGCCACGTCGTCAAAAGAAGACGACAGAGGATGCCACGGCGACGGCAACGCCAGAGCCTGAGCCAGAAACAAAGACAGAACCAGAGCCAGTTCCGGTGGAAGAAGTGGTGAAACCCAGTGTAGCTAGTGAAGTAAAAGCCATGGCGTGGGACACCAGTGACAAGGTAGGTGATACTGAATTTTTTTATTTTACTATATTTTTGTTAACCTTGTCAAATATTAGAATGGTGAGATGTTCAGACTTGGCCCAGTGTAAATAACATTACTACTAGTATTAATTTTTGCGTTTTTCTAATAACTTTCGGTAAAGTTGTTTGATTTTGAGAAAAATTACCGGCCTAATTTAGATGTAATAACAAAAAATTTACGAAAAACAAATTTGACAGACATGAACCAACGACAACCACTGAACTACATGCTCCTTACTTGGGACAGGCACATGAAGAATGCTTGTCGACTTTTGTTGTTGTTTGTTCTGTTTGTGTTTTAATTGAAAGGAAAGAATGTGGTGTATCAAGTCATGACACCTAGTACGGACTTGAAAAACAAGAGCCTGCACTTTTATTGCTGAATTTTGTTTTTGGGGGTTTTATTTATTGTGTTTTATGCCCTTTTCTCTGAACAAGTTTTTATGAACATTTTATAAATACCAACTAAAACCTCAGTAACATATAAACTTTGATTTATTGATAGACGCAAGTTCTATTACAAATCCGCACCTTTTAAGGACTTTTTAGACGGAGAACAATAATACCAATGATTTGTCCGTAATTTTTAATTCTTAAAGTTGACCTTATTAAAATAAGGAGATGTGCATGGTAAGACTGCCAATGAGACAACTATCAACCAAAGTTCAAATGAAGTGGATGTAAGCAATTATAGGCAACCGTATGGCCTTCAACAATGAGAAAAACCCATACCGTATAGTCGGCTATAAAAGGCCCCGACATGAAAAATATGAAACAATTCAATTTAAAAACTGTCGGCTTAATTTATAACAAAACAATTTACGAAAAACAAATATGACAGACATGAACCAACGACAACCACTGAACTACAGGCTCCTGACTTAGGACAGGCACATAAAGAATGTGGCGGGGTTAAACATGTTTGTGAGTGCTCATCCCTCAATTCTTTGATGAATTTGGCTATTATTTTAGGTCCCTTATATGACCAGTCATATTGATCTTATAATGTTTCTACACATTTTCACATCCCTGGCTTTCAAATGTTGAGGTTTGAGCATTCCTGTTGAAGGCGGAACAGGAAGGGCACTGCGAATGCACGTAATTTTAAAAGTATAATTGTCATTATAATTACACTTCGTTTAAATTTACCATTGAACATGTGTTATCTGGTGACATATCACTACATGTGGTTGTAACCATGGTAACTGTTTGTCTTTTACTCCATCATTAGGATTTAAAAAAAGATTTATTTACATATTGTCAGCAATTCGTTAACAAATAGTGTTTTGGTTGAGATCGATTTTAAGTGTAACATCTGTTATTCAATTACGCCAGAATTACTGAACATTTTCAATCTTTCCTGAATAGAAAAAAGGTGACCTCGAATTTAAACCTAGTTTATATGTTTATATAAACTTTCAATATAGCATATGTCTTAATCAAATATTCCGTTTGCAGAAATTGAAGAAGAAAAAAAACATGCAATTGTTGCTTTTTCGTTGACATATCATGACCCAGATTGCCTTTTTAAATCTGACATATGTACGTAAATGTTCTGACATATGTACGTAAATGTTCTGACATATGTACGCAAATGTTAACTTGTAAAACCCTTAGTTATTATTTAGAACCCTCGTACAATAATAACAGAGTTCTCGGAATCATTTTTGCCTGTTGGTCCTTGAAGAAAATCTACTGGTCTTCAGTATTACTTCTATTGCAAAATACCAAAATTGTGTCGGTCCTTTGCAAAACTTGGTGGTCCGAAAACCTTCGGACCGCCACTTTTCAAAATTTACGAAAAACAAATATGACAGACATGAATGAACCAACGACAACCACTGCATGTATTAAGACCGCAATACATCATATAGGCTTCGGTTTATGAAGCTAATAGAATTGAGAAAAGGTGGGAATATGGTCACATATATTCTGAATCTATTTAGACCGAATTATTTGTCGTTCAAAAGCTTTTTTTTTATGGTGCTTTTGTGTCTTTTGTGACACAAAAGCACCATCCAAAAAAATAAGCTTTTGAACGACAGATACAAAAGCACCATCCAAAAAAAAAGCTTTTGAACGACAGATAATTCGGTCTAGAATCTATTGTGTGAGTACTTTATTTAGCTGTGTGTGTGTGGGTATGTATTGGTAGATGTTAGAAAGGGTGAACACTCTGAAAAAGGTTACAATTATCCCTATAGTCGGAAAATTCTGCCGTTAAAACTACGGCCAGCCTTCTACACATCCAGACGAACTAAATATCCTTTGCGCCGTTGTTACGTAATCTTGTAGTGTATGATAAATATCTGCGTTAGTTTGTCTCAAATTGCAGAGTTAAAATAATAAGACGAATGCGTTTGGAACTAATTAGTTTCTCTTTGACAAAATTATTGCTCATATACAGTTATAAGTGTCTAATGGTTGTTTGTCTATATCCAGATTGCATTTCAATTGAAGCATACTATGATATGTGTGAACATCTGGTTTCAATATCTTTTTCCCTGAAGATAAACCTCCTAAATTATCACTGTATCAAAATTAAAATAACATGCATTGTTTATACTTGTGTAAATACATGTGCATAGTTTCGGTCAGGCATTTTGTGTTGTATGGAGGCCTTTTTTTCTAAAAAAAAATTGAAAATGAAGCGTTTAGAATATATAGTCTAATTGTGGCGGAAAATACTTCTTGAGAAGGGGCAAACAGTTGTAAGCGGATTGATTTTTCCGTTACAGTAAAATAGGTTTTGCCAATATAGTAATGGGACATAAAAGTTTAACGATTCAGTTAATTTAACTAGATATTAAAGTGTACTGATTAAATGTTTATTTTTTTCTAAGTATTGAAAAAAAACACCAACAAAACAACATAGAATAGGCTGCGTATATAGGTATTGTTCCATCTGAAATGTGGTAACTGAGACGATTTAATTGGAGACAAACCTCCAAATTTGGTTGCATAGGGGAATTATTCCATTAGAATCGGGACAGTCGATTGAATAATTACATGATGCTATGCTTGTCAAAAAGTATACCGTTATGCTTGTCAAAAAATATACCGTGAATGATTTTGAAAAAAAAAACATTGTTTATAATAAACTTATTTTGATTGAAATGAGTAACATGACGGTTGTTTTTAACTAGTGTAGCAGGACTCTTGACGTGTTTATCCTTCAGGAGCACATGATATCTGTCGGATCCCGATTTGTTCAGGTTTGTTCAATCATCCTTTGGTAATTGGTGTTGTCCGTCTTTCAGGCTTCGATTTAGCGTGTTTGATTGTCCCTTTTTATATCTTTCCCCTTCAGTATAGGAAATATCTAAATTCTTCCATATAGGAATAAATTTTTTTTACTCAGGAAAAATATATCGGTTACCGCTAAAAGAATGGAAATAACTTGTACTAAGATGACTTATAGACTTGTTACATATTCCTTCCTAATTTATTTTTTTTCAATTTTACCCCTTTAACAATATTACTGCTATAACTAAGAGATTCCCATTATAATGACACCTGCAGATTAAGGACAATCAGTATACTGGCAGTTTCCAGTAAGCATATGAATTAGTAAGAAATAAATAAAAGAAAGGGCCGGAACTCACGGTAGCAAGTCTAGATGGCTTCTTGTGGTTGCAGACCTCTTTAGTAACGATTGTGATACATATGTTTTGTTCATTAAAGTCATTTAATTATCTGGGTTTCAAATTTGAGTCCGCAAAATTTGAAAAGCGTCTGCGTTAAAACCACAAGAAAAATAAATCAGAAAAAAACAGTTCTTAATACCAGGAACATATATACTGTTCCCAGTTAATACTAAAATAAAATCTTTACAAAATTTTGAATATTAGAATACCCCCTTTGAGCCTCAAACTTCATCACCATTCTGGTTTTTAATGATTTCAAATGAAAGCTAGTTAAATATAGTGGAAATATAGTTGTTTCAGTTTTATCATGGAAGACTCTCATGGTTTTTCTAACAGTGAGAAGATTCTGATTGCAATCCGGCTCAGAGATCAGCTGACGCATATTTGATCTTTTTTTTTTAAATGACATACATTTTCAAATACAGTATTGGAACAAGGTGAGAAATTGCTATTTATACAACGTTTCTAAAAGAGATAGGTCATTGTCCAAACCAATTCAATTAACCTGTTAGGTTAACAGGTGCGTGTCTTCTTTGACGTCCGCGTTTAGAATTTCCGTAAAACCATTCACCGAAACATTCCTGATTTTATACACTTTCTCTATGCTAGTCGCCGGGCCGAAACTGTTGCATGAGTAATTCCCATCGACTGATGCTTTCACGTTTGAGATAAACTGCCAACTAACCGGCGATTGGAATTCTGTAGTTCTAATCTTTAGGATACATTATTATTTAATGAGATCGTTTGACAAAAGTGTGTGTTTATGTTAATTTTATGAAAGGGAAGTTTCATTTGTACAACACATGTACATAGACATAGTGGCGGAAAATTGTGAATGTTTTAAGTTATTGATGGAATTGATTTTGTGAAATTTACATCCTCTCACACGTGTTACAAAGCATCTTAGCTTGTTTATCGATCATAAATAGTTGACCTAAAATTTACATCATTCCATCAGAAAGCGAAAGAAATGAACCGGACGCCAGTAAAGAAAGTTCCAATTCATTTGCAGGTAGGTGGCAGTTTCGAGCTCGGATAAAATTTGAATTAATAAGATTATTGCCAAGACCATGAGTGAATCATTGTTTTAATTTTAGATGCTGCCAGTTTTTCGTGCCAACCAAAATGCTAATTGTTTAGTACAAAAATGTACATTGGATTTGATTAGTACATTTGCACAGTGTATGACTGTACACAAGTGGTTTTTTGGCTGATTAGCATATAATTTATCAGAAATTAATGTATTTCATATTTCAGTGATAGAGTTATTATGCTAATAAATGTACATTCATTTATGTTGACTGCTTATTTTGCCCTGAATAATTTACA